TTTTATTGAGTCTTTTGTAATTCTGATGGCAACGCTTCTATATCAGCTGGACCATTTTTATCAAGAAATAACAAGTGAAATTTTATTCAGAAATATTAGAGTTTATCTCTTTTATCTTAGTGAGAGTGATTCTCCTAAATTCTTGAGTGATTCAAGAACCCTTGGCTGTATCAAAGGACTGTCACATCCTTTGTGTGTTGCCTCCCTTGGGAAGAGTGATTCTTTCCTTCCACCTTCTTTCAAATTCCTAAATTTCTTACAAGGTTCTAACCCTAAAGATCCTAAATCACCCCTTGTGTAATTGTGATTCACGTCACCCCCACCACTTCACGTTTTGATCCATCGAATGATCGAATAATAGTATCACTTGGGCGTATGCAGACTCCTTGAACTGTCAACTTATCGAGTGTGCACTTGGGTATCACATTCAAAGATGACCTGTTATCCATAAGAACTTTGGAGATGAGATACTCCTTGCACTTAATGGAGATGTGCAAGGGCTTGTTGTGGCTCGATCCTTTGGGAGGGAGTTCTTCATCTGTGAAGGTTAGATGATCATTGGCAGTAATGTTACCAATGATCACCTCAAACTTATATTGGGATATGACATGCGGTACATATGCTTCGTTCAAAACTTTCAGCACGACGTTTCGATGCGGTTCCGAACTCATTATTAATGATAACAAAGTTATCTTCGCAGGTGTGCGATTGAGTTGGTCAATGATGGAGTATTCGCTTTGGCTTATAAACTAGAGTAACTCATCGGTCTCCTCCTTGGATTCTTTATTGTTTTGTTCTTCGATCTCTTTATTTTTTTCTTTATTTTTAGGAGCCTCATCTTGTAGCTCCTTGGGGGAATAAACTCTTCCGCTTCTGGTTGTGCTCCCAATACCGACGATGTTGGAGATATCTTCATTAATGACCAATGTTTCTTCATATCTCCAAGGTACAACTTTATTTGATGCGTATGGGAAAGGACGAGGCGCGAACAAATGCAAAGACGTCCTTGCCCCCTCTTCCTTATTCATTTGAATGAACAACGACTGAGACTTATTATCCTCCTTGGGTTGATCAACCGTTTAGGTGAACTTGATGACAAAAGGTTTTCTCTCCATCTTGCTGAGTATGGAAAACACATCAATTAATCATTTCTTTTTATTATCTTATTGTTATTTAAAAGTGATGAGGGATGTATGAATGTTTGGTGTGTGATAGATATGCCTTAAGACAATGACTACCTCAGTATAATGGTTCCTTCCCTATCATGGTTTTGACAAATATAACGAAGGTCACCATATGCCTTAGCACATTTGTCCCTTCCTTGTGAAAGGTTACAAACGCACTTGGAGCCTATTTCGCCTTTGTCTTAAAGATATCTAATGTCCCCTAGCATGAATGTATTTATGCATGAGAAACTTTATTAGGATGATGTGTATGCATATTTTCCTTATGCATTTATTTTCTCTCTTATTTTACCGCTCTTGAAATAATGAGGGTATGAATGATTTGACTTTGTCAAAATCTTTTATCATTTTTTATTTTGAAATGAATGTTTTGACTTTGTCAAAATAGTTGTATTATGTTTTGTTTTTACTATTTTTTGTGACCCTTTATTTCTTCTGTTGGTTAACGTGACTACTTAACTTATAAAGAACCTGAAACCAGACTAGCTTAAATGAAGATTGTCCGAGATAAAGTTATTTATTTTAAAAGAAAGGTTTCATGTATATATATTTTTTATAACTCTTTATCTCTTTTGTTAGTCAACGTGACTATTTAGCTCACAAAGAACTTGAAACCAGACTAACTTAAATTAAGATTGTCCGAGATTAGAGAGGTTTATATTGAAAAGAAAGGTTTTATATATATATATATATATATATATTAAGAATTTGTATTGTTTTAGCTTTTGTATGATTATTTTTCATGTTAATGCAACAAATATATGCACAAACAATTCACTCATCCGCGAATAGATTGACGACATTTTAATCACAAGGTAGGGGTTTCCTACAGAAAGGTATATAACCAAGGTCAGATCCCCAAGGTGCCCCCATTATAGGGACCCTTCAATCTCTCAGTCTTCGAACCATGCATGGCAAAAAGGTCTTGTCGACGTTCTTAGACTAAGAGAAGAAGGTTATCACCTTGAGTGATGTTTCCGACAACGACCTGCTGGCACTAAGGCCATTACCACGGTCGATCGTACCTGCCACCCACTCCCTAAGGTTTACCACTCATGCCCCCAGGTATAGAAGGACTGTTGTGTACAAAGGTTTGTGTACAGTTGATATTTCAAACATTTGCAGAAAATAATCAAACAACAGTTATTAAAGTCAAACAGTAAAGCATGTTATTCAAACAAGGGAGGGTAAACGCATAATTTCAAATATATTTTTTTTAGATTATTCCATCACAAAATAGGATAAACTCTCTAGTTTCCCCAGCGGAGTCATCATCTATCACCGCCGTAAAAAACGGTCATCGTGACGCGATAGTTTTGATGATTCGCGTTTGTTTTTAAAAAAAGTGGTAATCGCTCTTAGGGTGTTCGATAACCGAGCTACCTTTAAGAGCAAGTTTTTCATAAATGGGTCCAGGAGTCACCACCGATATTTTTATCATAGACATTGAAAAAGAAAAAAAAAAGGCGTTGGTTTAAGAAAAACCAACTTTGACTATTATAACCAGAGTTTGGTAAGAGAGTTAGTTACATATGGGGAAGATATTAACACCTCACAACACCCCTTTCGGGTTCCCTATGATGGAATAATCTTAAAATAAAGACTTTAAAAAATCATGCTTCTACCCTATTTATTCAATGCACTAATTAAATGATTATCTACATGGTCCTAGTATCTAATGCATACAAGGAAAGCAGTAAAAGAAAGTAGTAAAAGAGAAGAGATATGAAGAAAAACCTCCGAAGCAAGTTTTTATAAATCTTGCACTTGAGGACGCATTTTGGCAGTCCCCACATTCTACAAAGACGCTCCTCCCTCGAACAAAAATTAAGAACTAAACTCCTCAAGTGTCAAAAAAATCACTCGTACTCTGGAATAATGCTCAGAAGTCCCAAAATAGGTTCTATGGAGCATATGAGAGTGTGAGGTGTGTGGAATGAGGGAAATGAGGATCCTATTTATAGGAAAATGAGTCAGAAAGACTGGATGACTTAAGTGGACGGCCGTCCATGGTTTGATAATAAGCATGGACGACCGTCTAGTTAGCCTGGACGGGCATCCGACATTTTCGATAAAATTTCTGATTTTTATTTTTTCAGAAAACACTCATTATCTTAAATGGAACCTAAAAAATGCTATTAGGGGTCTATCAAAGTCTTAACCATCTTCAAAATGGAAGGTTTCTGAACTTATTGCGATAACGGACAAAATTTGAGATCTACAATAAAAATATCCGTTAGAATAACAATAAAAAAATAAAAATAATACATTATAGTAAATGACAACTAATAAAATTCTAGAACATTTTTTAGAAGATATAAATAATTTTGTTGTGTAAGCTATTGAATGAGTCTGTCTATTTCAGTGAATTGGGCTTGTATTCTATCATTAGTGGATAATTTCACTTACTTTTTAACATTTCAGTTACTTTTTAGTTAATTTGTAGCTTTTCAACAACTTTTGTCAAACGCAGTCAGATTTTTCATTTTTATTATTTTCTATATATTTATTTTTCTTTATTTATAAGTCAGGACTTTATTATTGTTTTTTAGGTAATATTTTTTTAATCTTTTAATAGATAATATATTGCAATGATGAAAAAAAAGTTTATCATCATTATTGTTTATAAAAAAGTTTTCTTTAATTGCTCGTAAAGTATTTTTAAACATGAAGTGACCTTTTTAAAAAAAAGTTGTTAGGTTTTAGCCTCTATATATATATATATTTTTTTTTCTTAAAATATTTATTAACTTTTATTTTTATCTTTTACATATAATATGTGATTTTATTACTTTGTTGTATTTTTTTCATTTATAATGCATCGACTTTTATTTTATATAGGGTAAACATTTATTATTTTTAATTTATTTCTAAATAAGATATTAAAAATCATAGAAAATAAGTTTATTATGATTAACTAATAATATTTACATACTTATATGTTATATAGTTAATTACTTGTTAACTTTTTTATATAATTTATTTTAACTGTTATATTATTTATAATATTTATTACACTTTTAGAATAATACTTCAATACATTAATATTGATGATAAACTTGTTTTTTAAGTTATGAATATTTTGTTGTATTGCATTGTTTATTTTAAATACTTTACGTGGATTTAAAACAACTCTAAATGATATAAGATTAATTTTACGATTAAAAAACATAAATAAATCGTAAATTCGAGTACTCGTAGTGATAAAAACTAATACACTAACTATAATTATTTATCAATAAAAAATAAATAATTATAGACTATTAATAATAATCATTTATTTTTTTTGTTTTTATCAAAATATCAAATATTAATAACTGATCGAAATTTTATAAAAGTTAAAACTGCTTATTTATAAAATTATGAAAAATAAAAAAGAATTTAAGCTAATTTAAATAAAGCGCTTCCTTTCTTAAAATTATTAATAAATAAAATTGTTTCTAAAATTTAATAATAATAATGTTTTTGGTCAATATCGCCAATAATTTTTTAAACATTAAATTAGTTTTTATTGCAGTTCCATTGCGTGAAGCCCAAACTAATACAGACAGAAACTTGAAGCCCAAGTTGAAGCAGTAAACGTCAACCTAAGTCACTCTCCACTAGGACATACAAGATGATCGTAAAGCCCACAGGATCTTAAACCAAGAATCATTACATCCTCAATCTTAACGCTATAACGCTCGTCGGTTGTTAATTTCTTACAAACACTTCAATCTCTTTGCTAATACCATTTCTGTTGACGCAGTCACACCCAAAACCCTAAACTCTATCACACTTTCGTCGGAATCCGAGTTTGGCTTTTTCCGCCACAAGATGCCGGCGAAGGACGACGGCTCCGACAAGGAAAAATGCCTCGATCTTTTTCTGAAGATAGGTTTAGACGAGCGCACAGCTCGAAACACCGTCGCCAACAACAAGGTCACTGCCAATCTCACTTCCGTCATCAACGAGGTATCCATAACTATCCATATCATAATGATTCTCAATTCAACAATCTTTTAGCAATCAGTCTTTCTATTTTCAGAATGATTTCATTTCCATCATTCGTTATATTAATTGCTTTTCTTCTCCGTGTTTTTTAGGCTGGTGTTACTGATGGATGCAGTCGAACGGTTGGAAATCTTCTTTATACGGTAATATATGTCATTGCATGGACTTGAATTTGTGTTACTCTCGAAATTCTGGATGTTTTCTTTTGTTGACGTGGTTGTTGCCGTTTATTTATGTGGCAGGTTGCGACGAAGTACCCTGCAAATGCCTTGCCGCATCGTCCAATATTACTACAGTACATTGTTTCTTCAAAGGTGTGCATAGTAGATTCTTGGTTGCCGTCTTATGTTCATTGATTGTCAAGCAGAATGACACTAACTGTTTATTTCGTGTTATTATTGAATTCCACTTTTTTTTCACTTGTTTGGTTGTGCACTTTGTAATGAAGTTTTCTGCTGATAATTGGTTTAGATGAAGTTTTACATTTGAATTATTTCCTCTCTCACTAACATTATTCATGCAGGTCAAAACAACGGCACAATTAGATGCAGCATTATCATTTCTTGCTACTACGGGCTTAGAGAATCTTGATTTGAAAACGTTTGAAGAAGCTTGTGGTGTCGGTATGGTAGAAAGCACTTTAGCAATGTAGTCTCATATAAAATTGGTCTTAGGGCCAGTTTGGACGAACTTCTTAGAAACACTTTTAGGAGAGAAAAATAAGGAAAAAAATGAATATGATTTCTCCAAAGCTAATTTTAGGTTATGCACAAGCTAAAAATAAAATTTTGGAGGAGCTATATGAGAGATTCTATAAATTAGATTATGCATAAGCTAATTTTAACTTATAGAAGAATCAATTTTCTTTTTCTTATTTTTCTCTCCTAGAAGTTATTGGTATGGTAGTTGTAGTGGTGGGAATAACTTCTTTGTCATGTAAAAATGTCCTTTATGGGCAGTCCTTAGTCTTGTTGGTAATTAATTCCTTATGACAGTACTATTTTTGTTTTTAAGCTCACTAGACATTTTTTAGTTAATTTTACTTTATTTTAATTAAATTGGTTTTAATTTTTAGTTTTTGAGTTCCTTGCTGCCTTACTAACTTTTTGGGTTGACAAGTGTATCTTTTAACTATCATGCATATTTGCGCAGGCATTGAGGTTTCAACAGAAGATATTAAACAAGCTGTTGATGAAGTTGTTGAGCAGAACAAGGCTACAATTTTGGAGCTACGCTATCGAACAAATGGTAGGTGTTCAGTTTTGGCCTCTGATAGATTTAATAATTCAATTCTCACAGATTTCTTTTTTTTTTTTGAAATGATAAAATTTAAATGATATGATTTGACTCCAATTTACATACTGTAAAATCATGTCTACAAATTTTAAATTGGAATACACCTTTTCAATTCTTATAGACAAGAGCATAATGTGGATGATTGGTTGATTCATTCTTCTGCAATAAGTTTCACTTTTATATTGAACTTCCATTCTATTCAGTGCTGAAGAACATTTTTTTTTTTTTTATCTTGCTAGTGGGTGAGTTGCTTGGGCATGTGCGCAAGAGGCTGCCATGGGGTGATGCAAAAGTTGCCAAGGTGACAGCTATGGAACAAATTTAATTCAATGGGTAGTTGGTTTACTTATTTCAAGTTTTTTAATACTATTTACTTTGCCATTTTTTTTTATTGCAGCAACTTCTTGATACAAAACTATATGAACTACTTGGTGAGCGAACAGCAGCAGATGATGAGAAGCCTTCTAAAAAGAAGAAGGAAAAACCTGCCAAAGTAGAGGTGTGTGTTTCCAATTATCTATTTTGCCTCTACTTTATATGACATTACTTATAGGTTCACAATTCTACTTACATGCCTACATAGGATAAAGTACCTGTTGCCACTCCTGAAAAGTCACCTGAAGAAGATCTTAATCCATATTTAATATTCCCTAACCCAGAGGAAAATTTCAAGGTATTTTCTTTCCTCATTCAAAATTAAATGCATAGTTCTGTTTGCTCATGTTGCCAACCAAATGTTTGACCCTGGTAGTGTGTGTATGGAGTAATTTCCAATGGGCATGACATGACATATGAGTGTTTCTTATTGAATGTTTCTGGTTGGTATTTTGTTCTGTAAGGCTTTCAACATTTCGAAGTTCCCTTGATACCCTGAAATTGGAAATTTAACTTTTTTCATTAACTTGCATCTGCTACATGTCTTGATGATAAGTTGATTTCAGGTGCATACTGAGGTGCCTTTTAGTGACGGTAGTATTTTGAGATGTTGTAATACAAGGGCGCTTCTTGACAAACACTTGAAAGCAACTGGTGGAAAAGTTTTGACCCGCTTTCCACCCGAACCAAATGGATATTTGCATATTGGTCACGCAAAAGTATGTAATATGTTTCACATTGTAATCATTGTGCTTGTTGTTTCTTTTTCAGTGACATATAATTATATTTAAAATAAAAACTTAATTTTTGCTCAGGCTATGTTTATTGATTTTGGGTTGGCAAAAGACAGGGATGGAGGTTGCTATCTGAGGTGTGTGCTTTTTTTCAAATTTCCTTTATTTTTGTTAGCTCACCTGAGTGTCTCTTCTTTCATCTGAAAGAGATGGGCATTGCTCTTGGGACTTGTATCATTTACGGATTATCTATGGGTGTGTTATAGCATCTTGAACTGACATAGATTAAAAATGAAGTGAAAAATGCTTGATAACTATCAAATTATGAGTTTTTAACAATGCCTCTTGATTTTTCTATTAAAAACCAAGTCTTCTCTATGTGTATTGCAATCCCCCTGTATTATTTTTTCTAGGATTTTTTCTTGTCATGAGTTACAGTACAGGGCAGTTCTGTGCTGTATGAATGCTCATAGTTTGCTATCTTTATCTTTGTTCACTACTTAGGACCATTGAAGGCAATAGAAATATTTTTGCATTCTTTTGATGTTTTTAACTGGTTAACCAACTGATTTTTACAGTTGAGAAAACCTTGGGCAGATATACACATGGTTACTGGCACCTCATATTATAGTAACTAGGTTGATAGGAAGGAATCCTAGTTTGTGTGATATTTTTTTTTCTCTGAGAATAAAAATCCAGGGGGGACTCGTTTCCTCTTTTTACTAATGACGTGCATACCACAGATTTGTTCGCCCTCTTTACTCATGCACCTAACTACCTCTTCTTATCGGTTATTCTTGGGCTTAATAGGAAATAATAGTGCTTCTGTCCAATGTTAAAATGATCAGCTTGATTTGGCATTTTGTGCATAACTTTCAAAATATTCTATTTCTTATGGATTGATCAGAAACATTTTTAATTTCTTGTTACTACTTTAATCTGTCAATGACAATAAACCTATAAGTGACTCATTATGCCTATGAATATGTGACTAGGTTACATTCATTTTGTTGCATTAAAATTATAAAGAAGACTAATTCCCTATATACTAGAAGTTTTATGATAAAATCAAAGATGTGTTCCTAATTGTTTTCATGTTTACTTAATTCCTGTGAATACCCCTATATGCTTTAGTTAGATCTTTGTATTAATTATGCACTATAAGTTTCTTCGTTCCAAGTTGAATGTTTGTGGCACTTCCAGGTATGATGATACAAATCCTGAAGCCGAGAAGAAAGAGTATATTGATCATATTGAAGAAATTGTCCAGTGGATGGGTTGGAAACCGTTCAAGGTATGGTGGTTTGTTTTGTAACATGTATTGACTAATGTGATCTTGTTTTCTTTTTATGTTTAATAGCTTTGTAAATTTGCAGATTACATACACTAGTGATTACTTCCAAGAATTGTATGAATTAGCTGTGGAGCTCATAAAAAGGGGTCATGCATATGTTGATCATCAGGTTGCTATCCAAACATCTATATAGCTTACTTACTACAAATATTTAATATTTTTGTTAATGTTTCATTGGTTCTTCATTTCGGGTGGATTTAAAACATCTAACATTTAATTAAATTGATTTATTTGAAGCACAAATTTTGATCCCTCAGGCAGTTTACTCTGAAAATCTCAATTGCATGGAATTATATTATCAACCCTTTTGTTATAAATTTGTGTCCTCAAGCCTAAACAAGAGGACAGTCTTGTTGTATTCTCTTTCTATTGTTGTGCTTTGCTTCACCACTATTAAGCGCATATGTTATGTTTTTAAAAGTTTTAAATTTATTGAATTTTGTACATTAATTACAACAAAAGTTAATACTATTAATGAATGATTTGGTGGTAGACACCTGATGAGATAAAGGAGTATAGGGAGAAGAAATTGAACAGTCCTTGGAGAGACAGACCAATTTCAGAGTCATTGAAGCTATTTGAGGATATGAGAAATGGTCTTGTAGAAGAAGGAAAAGCCACGCTTAGAATGAAGCAAGACATGCAGAGTGACAACTACAATATGTATGACCTTATTGCTTATAGAATTAAGGTAAATACTTGACTAGATGTTTTTTTATTACTTTTCTACGGGATAATGATTTAATTTCTTGTGATGTGAATGCTTTCTGCCTTTTAGTTTACTCCACACCCTCATGCTGGAGACAAATGGTGTATCTATCCAAGTTATGATTATGCTCACTGCATTGTTGATTCTCTAGAGAATATCACACATTCGGTAAGTTGTTTTTCACCCGATTTCGTCTAGGTGGTGTTATTATTCTCTTGCTAGTAACCTGACTTCTCCTTTTTTATAACCATTTGAATTTTCAGCAAGACTTCTCTTGATGCTTAAACTCTCCTAATTTAAAATCTATCTATCTATCTATATCTATCTATCTATCTATATATCTATCTATCTATATATATATATATATATATTTATTTATTTATAGTGGTGGTTCTTGTGTTACCATAAGTTTTTGTAAAGATGATGATATTTGGATATCTTAATATAATGATGTCTAGGTGGCTAGATTTCTAACTTATTCTTCTGCATTGATTTTATACTCTAAATTTTGGTGATATTTATAGTCAGAGTCAGATATTTGGAAGATCATTGAGTTGGGGTTATTATGTTTTAAAATGTATGTGATTCTCCTTAAAAAAATTGTAGTTTCATCTTTTGTGTATATTCTGATTTTTGAAATTTTGAATTATCTGTCCTACAAATAATAGTGTGCAATTCAGAATTTTCTAGTCACTATATTGGTTGGAGGTTTGTGGCTATAACTGCGCAATGAACTTTTGTAACTAATGGTCAATGCTTTGTGGCTTCATTCCTGACAAATAGGATTCAGATTCCATTATAATATATACACGTTGTGTATGCTATTACTGATAACTCTGAATATTGTTATTATCTATATATATTTCTAATTCATGAATATCTCATGCAGCTGTGTACACTTGAATTTGAGACACGTCGAGCATCATATTATTGGTTGTTGCATGCGTTAGGCATTTACCAGCCTTATGTATGGGAGTATTCAAGGTTGAATGTATCTAACAGTGTTATGTCAAAGCGTAAGGTGAAGCAACAATTTTGCACATTGAAATAAGTTTAGTTTTGTTATTCTGCTTATAATTTGCCATTTCCTAATTACATATGGTTCTTTTGTTGAAGCTAAATCGTCTAGTTACAGAAAAGTGGGTTGATGGATGGGATGATCCTCGGTTGATGACACTAGCTGGTTTGCGGCGTAGAGGCATGACCCCTACTGCAATCAATGCTTTTGTCCGAGGAATTGGAATAACTAGAAGGTATGATATCAACTTCCAAATACAGTTAGTTCTAAACGAATGCTATTTCTTAGTTATTGGTTGGAAAAGTACTTGAAACGTCACACACTTGTGTTCAAGTAAAGGAATAAATTCAATAGATTTGTTAATCCATTATTGTGTATTAATTTTGAATGTCTTTATAGTTTGTGTTAGTAAATAATGTATCTTCATCTCTCTTCCTGTGAGAGAAAAAGCATATCATCCAATGACTTTATCCATCTTATGTTGGGATAATAAAAACAGCTATAAATCTCTAGTATTTTCTTGCCACTAATGACTTTTCAGATATTGTGATTAACTTTTATTTTCTTAGTTAAAATTGTAAGTGCTTGTATCCTTTATGAAGTGTAAAAGCTTGCCAGTTATTAGCAACTTTTTACGAACTGAACCATTAATTGAATCACTCAAAGCACTGTTTCACGGTTTATTGGTTCAACTGCAGCTGATATGTGATAGAGCTGGTAGTAGTTAAGTTTATATTGTAATATTTCTATCAAATAATATTAAATTACTAGAAATCATATATAAAAATATGAACAAATATATAAATTACTAAATTATTTGTTTTACTAGAGAGAAAATATTAACAATTAGCAAAATAATGTACACCTATGTTTAAACCGAAAATGTGTTTTTGTTTATTTTATCTTAATTTTTTAGATTAAATTAAAAAAATGAAAAAAAAAATAGTAAAATTTGAAAAATACTGGTTAAAACCTTTTTGACCTGTTACACTGTTTTTTGCTGGGTCCTAGATGCATGGTCTTGTTTTTGTTGAGTTAATAAACGGTCACCAGAAGAATTCCCAGATGAACACGAGGATCCGGTCTAGTTTTCATAAGCTATGCTGTTAGTTCTCATTCTCCAAGATATTTTAAACCGAAAGTGTCAAGATGTACATTCTAATTGCTGATATATCAGTCTTTGACAAGTTTATGCCCAGAGGGGAATATTGCATTGGAATAATTGTTATTGCCAGAAGCAGAAAGAGAAAATATGGGGTAGATAAATCGACACTTCATTTAGCAAAGGCTGAACAGGGCAAACAGTAGGCCTATTTCTACAGGTGAAATATTTGAAGATTAGTGAAATATTTCCGTACCACTGAAACCCTAGTCTTGGTCCACATATTTCATACAACCTAGCTAGGTTTTTCTGTGTATCTGTACTGCAAGTTTTTTGGGTCAGGTCATGTGTCAGGCGGAATCCAAATTTAAAATATAGCCAGCAGTCACTTTCTAAACTATATAATTTATGACCATAAAAATACTGATCTCCTTAACAAATAGAAACACAGGTCTTTGAAGAAATAGTTGTCTTGGCGATGCCTTATCCAAATAGTTGATTCACTATTTTTGTTCTTTGCATGAAATTGTTCTGTTATTTCTTTGGTTGTTTAATGGGTGCTATAGGAAATCCACATTTGAAGCTTTGATCATTGAATGTAGCTTACTTCCAAGAACAAGAACCTGCACTTTTTTAATTAAAAAAAAACTGATATCAGAGTGGAAGTGCATTACTAATTATTCTCTTTTTGTTGTGGTAGTGATGGCACTTTGATTTCTGTTGAACGCCTTGAATACCATGTTAGGGAAGAATTGAACAGAATAGCTCCTCGTGCAATGGTTGTTCTACATCCCCTAAAGGTATATCTGTGTTCTTTCTACGCCAATATACTTTCTGTTTTGACTTAATTAGCTCAAGACTAAACTGCTTTTGTCTTTTAAGGTTGTTATTACTAATCTTGAAGCCAACTCAGCAATTGAGGTTGATGCAAAGAAATGGCCTGATGCTCAAGCTGATGATGCTGCTGCTTTCTACAAGGTAAAAACTGAGCTTGTGAAAACCTATATCTTTGGGCAGTGCTCTGGTTTTAGGAAATCTTGTTGCAGAAAACTAATTGTACCCAACTTTTCTCCGCTGATGATTCAATATGTAATTAACTTAAATTTATTGTTAAGCTTTATCATGAAATTACCAGTTCATATGGTGTTGGTAGGTGTATTTTATGTTTCTGATTTTTTTGTCATGCCTTTGTTATTAGATTCCATTTTCCAATGTTGTATATATTGAACATTCGGACTTCCGGATGCAAGATTCGAAAGATTATTATGGTCTAGCTCCTGGGAAATCTGCCATTCTCAGGTTAGTTAAAGATGCAGATTGAAATTGTGAATGAGAATTTATAGGTCCCAATGTTCAAAGTTTTCATTATTTGGTGTAGATATGCATTTCCTATAAAGTGCACTGAAGTTATTCTAGCTGACGATAATGAGACTATTCTTGAAATTCGTGCCGAGTATGATCCTTCAAAGAAGACGAAGCCTAAGGTTTACCGACTTTGTTAATTCTGTTGGTTAAAAATAGTCTGCAAGAGTTGGCAAGATCTGATTGGTGATCTTTGCAACTTTTTTTGTTTTTAGGGGGTTCTTCATTGGGTTGCTCAACCTTCTCCCGGAGTTGATCCATTAAAGGTGGAAGTCAGGTTGTTTGAGAGACTATTCCTATCAGAGGTTGGCTATCCTTTACGTCTGCGTGGTATTTTATTTTACAAGTATATTCTTGATATTCTTGTTTGCTAATAATATTCCCTTCTCTATTTTTGTTTAAATCAATGCAATAGAATCCCGCTGAACTTGAGAATTGGCTTGGCGATTTAAACCCGAATTCCAAAGTGATAATTGCTGATGCTTACGGTGTGTCCTCCCTACAGAATGCGAAAGTCGGGGACAATTTCCAATTTGAACGATTAGGTGCTTTACGTTGACTACTTGTTTCTTAATTCATCTTTGTTTACCCTCTCTCTCTCAAGAAAAAGAAAAAAACTTAGTTTGCTTAATATCTAATCCTCATATCTGCTCTTCCAGGCTACTTTGTGGTTGACCGAGACTCAACTCCAGAAAAACTTGTTTTTAATAGGACTGTCACTTTAAAGGACAGCTATAGCAAAGGTGGAAAGTAGGGTTCTTGAATATTTAGATTAAAAGTAACAAGGTGCCACATGCAGGTCTCTAATACTTGTTTAAAATAGATACTTACAATGCATAGATTTTTTTTGAGGCTGGGGGTTATGTACAAACATTTACTATCCACTTAGCCATGTACATTTTCTTAAGGGATCATTCAATAGTTCCTAAGTTATTTAATTACTTTTTCGTTGGTTGGTTTTTGTAGTTTTGGATATCTTATTTGTTTACTCAGGTGAATTAGTGTCAACGTTGCTGTTGATTTCCTACTAATCTAGTGCAAAATTAGTATTGAGAAATCATTTCACTTTCACGAACATAATACTACGATCTTCAGTTTGGAGTATATTTATAGAGAATTTGAAATGTTTTATAATAAATATATCTAAAATTTGAAAGAAATTAAATTACAAGAATTTACAATAATTTGAAATTTGTTTCTTATTTTTTCTTTTTTTAATTTGTAATTTTTTTCTTCTTCTTTATACTCTTCATTTTAGCTTTGAGCAGGATATGGTTTTGTTAGGCATGTTGTGGCTTCTATTGAAATTTGAGTAGGGATGTTGTTGGCTTAACATAATTTACATATCTTATCGATTTTATTGAGATTGGAGACGAGATTTTATTGAGGTTGGAGACGAGATTTAACATCGTTTTCATATCTAATCTTGAATTGAGGTTTAAAATTGATTATCCTTTTTTTGTATATATGTAATTGTTTGAGCTGACTTAGCTAATATTGGTTATATATATTTTTTTTCATATCATTAGTGTTTTTAAGTTGATTCAATTCAAATATGATTTTTTTTTATTGACATCAAATAAAATAATATTTTATTATAATTATTAGAGTTTTTTTTCGATGCTAACTGAAAGTAAGTTAGTAATATTATTAAATTAATGTAGAAATTTATAAAATAATAAATTTGAATTGTTTTACTAAAACAATATTTTGAAATTTAATGTGTCGTAGAAATGATAAGATTCCTTATTCAACGATGTGAAAATCAAGTCAATCTTTTGTACTGTATGCATTTGACGGGATAAATGTTTTTCTGATTGGCAGTAATGTGTATCCTACTTTGAATTATAATGTTAGTTTTTGTTAATTTCAATATTTGATTATATTAGCTATTTTACCAAATGGGTTTTAATCTGTCCCAACAAAATGAGCTGAGATGGGCTAAAGATGAATAATAGATCCTAACACGTTCTGTCAGAAAGCGGTCGTCAGTTTGCAAAAAAAATAAAATTTATTTATAAAAGGGTGTATGAACTAATAAGTATTATTTTTCTAAAAAAACAAAACTATTCCTTCAATCTTGACGTAGCTCATTCCAGTTGTTTTTATTTGTATCAACTATTTAAAACACGTTGAATATAGTATAAAGAGTTGGAGTATTCAAAATTGAACCGATAAAAAATATTAAAATTTTTGAATTTTTGAAATTTTTTTATAGATCATTTGATTTGAACAGAATTTTAGATTAAAAATTAAGAATAAAATAAGAACTGTTTATTTTATTTAAATGTAATATATAAATTAATAAATATATAATTATATTTTGAAGAATATTTTATTACTTAATCATATTTTATTTATACTTAGTTAAAATATGATTATAATTTTAGATTGAAATTTTTAGTTATATAATTGTATATTTATTTATAAATATAAAGAAAGTTAAAACTATAAATATAACGATGATATAAAAGAATCAGAATATATTTTTATTTAGATAAATTTTTATTAAAAATATCTAATAAATTTATAATAATAAAAATTACAAAATCCATTCAGATCAAATTAGGTTTATTAGTTTATTTTATTTTGAATTTTATATTAAATTAAAAATCTCTGTGCTTAAACCGAAAAATCACTAACACTCCTCACGAGAAGGCAAGCAAACTAATTTTTACTCTCTGTTTTTTAATGAAAATTGAAAAACATGGATAGCCTCTGCAATTCCCGGTAATTGATAAATGGGTTAAATTCCATGAGTAATATAGCCAATATTGACTATTGGGAGTGTTTATGAGTTGATTGAGTTGAAATTTTATATTTATTTTTTAAAATTTAATCTAACTCAATCCATTTTTATGGACATAAACTGATTAAATTAATTACATTATAATTTTTTTAAAGGATTAATAAATACGAAATTTCAAAACTTTTTATTATTTTTTTAATAATAATTTTAAAAATAAATTATATATTCAACGTTTTGAATAATTTAATATTTTAAATACATATTTTTATTTTAAAAAATTAAACGTCCACATAAAGTTGTGAATTATTTTAAAAAAATTGAAGTATAATATTCGTTCAAGGGTGACGTGTTCCGATTTGAAATTTCAAGTTATTCTTAAATATTTATAATTAAATAATGATAATATGTTGATTTATGTACATACGTACAAAAGAGTTTATAGTTGAGACTTCTAAGTGTTAAATGTCGTATTAAAGGTTTTAAATGTGGATCCTTATAAGTGAAAGGTGTACCCAAGTGTTAATATGATATGATTAATTTTATTTTTTAAGCACTTTTGTAGTGGCCAATGTTGATTAGACCCAGGAAATAGTTTGGACGGTTCAATTCCACGGAAGGTTAAGATTGATGATGTAGGTCTTATCATGAGTCAACAGTATCTGACAAAACGACTTGTTCAAGTGATGCACCTAGGTTGGAAACTTAACGATGAAAACCTTCGTGGAGTGGAATTTCTGGGTCATGTTTCACTGTTAAATTATCATGGCAATATTTAGTTCTTGACATGAAAAATGTTTGTGCATGCATAGGTGTGATTGTAAATTTGTAATGATCTCAAACGTAAGGTGTTGATGAGAAAACATATGTTGTTAACCAACTCAAATATTTCTACAACAGTTTTCATACATTTGAGTGAATGTGTTGAGTAACTCTATTATTAATTACGTGTTGTAGTAACATAAGACTCCTGATTCTAGAGTTACGAGTTTAGAAAGTTTATTTTTAAATAAGAAAAAAATTAGAAACTGGTTAAAGGAAATTCTTCTAAATATATTGTTTGTTTAATAGCATGTTAAAAAAATTGTGATTGTATAAATTGTTTCACAGATTTCTAAACATATTGGAAGAATATCAACCATAAAAGAGAAATGATCATACTGTTATTCCATTATTCCAATTGTCATTGCCACCAAAATCAAAATCAGCCAACCGAAAGTTATTCTCCTACACTATCAGTAGGGGCATCTTGAATCGTATATATACCATCAACCAGAGAATCTAATGTGTTGCGTTATGTTTTTATTCAGAAATTCACTGTTAATATATGTATCAGTACTTCCCATGACCATGATTTCCCATCACGAATCAGTCACATTTAAAAAGACCTTAAATCTGCTTATTGCATATTCTTAATACGCTACTGATTAAGAGAACAATATCTTAAGCTAATCCCTGTCTATTAGCTTTATGTTAAGTGTGTCTCTCAAATACGTGTAACGTTTCACCTATATATATATATATATATATATGTACCAGAGATTAATTCTGATATTTAGTGTTTAGTAGGCCTTGTGATCGTACTCAGATGTGATTTTGCAACTATTCCTACTCTGTGGTTGGATCAGAATCCTTATCTTCTTTATCACCTCCTGTGAGCATTGAGCATAAAGGCTCGGCTACACCAGCTTTCGTACTAAAAACGGATGCAGGAATGTTATTAGCACTGCAATTTTCTTCATTCACAGATAAAAAGTTATTCTTATATATAGGGAAATAAAGTGTGACTTGGTGCCATGCCCTTAATGGGACTCATCCCCATACCCGAAATAGTGAAAATATTCACTAGTCTACAATTCTCAATCTTTTACTTAGACTAAGCCCAATTATTGTTGGTTTTGTTAGGAGTACAACTTAGAAAAAAACTCTCACGAACATAGCAGAGAATTATGAATTACATATATGCAGAAAATAATGACATGGATGTGAGGTTAGTGGGTTGTGTACTTGCAGGCTGAGATAACCAATGAAAGTAACAAGATCACTCTTCTCTTTCTAAACAAAGGAAAGTGAAAGGGTCTTAGTCTCATTCTCCCTATTATGGAGTTTGGTCTAGTCACGCTTACATTTGATAGTGAGAGGTTGATTTGATTGAAAGTAAGGGAGAATGAGTATTATTTATCCATATCCATCTACCAATCTAATCTCTGCCTTTCAAAGGTTCCAATTCTCATGAATAATTAGCACCAACATCAGAGCACATGCTCGGGTGCCACCTTTTCTTTTCTCTCCAAAACACTTCATTTTGTTATCTCACTCATCCATCTTCCTACGCCACCTTATCCACCTCACTCACACGTACTATATATCGCATATGCTGCTACCATTCACTCCCTCCACAATATTTATCAATCAAATAACAAAAGTACCATAGTATATGAATATTATATATATATATATTGTTCTTAAGATAAAAGAAAAGAGGGCTCCAGATGCTGTAGACTTAACAAGTGGCTCCAAAATTTAGCACGCTTGAGAAAGAACCATGCACTAGCAAGGGTAAGGGAGACAGTTGGCAACTTTATTATAACAGAGACTACATGTGACTTTATTATAACAGAGACTACATGTCGATGAAATTTTTCTTTCAAATATTCAACAAAATTGTATAGTTAAGATTCAAACTGGACATAAGTGAAGAATTTTACATGAGTTGATCTCGGTGGCTTATTTGTTGCATGAATAAAATGTGAGTGATTTGTTTCTTTTGGCATCTGTTTTTGACCGTGCCCTTTATTTTCTGACGAAGACTTTGAAAACTGAACAGCAATAGCTGTTGTTCAATGATTTGAGGGATGTTTCTTTTCTTCATTCGTAGAACAGAGAGAAAAAGAATTGAAGGTAGCAGACATGAACTTTAAAAGCAGTCTTTTTCTGTGGTTGAACGTAGAAACCGGTGTAGTCACGCCCTCTCTCTCTGGCTCCATTATAATCTTGTTTAATTGCCAAAGTGTAGTTTCTTCATGTGTGTTGCTTTCAATTTCAAATCATCTGAAAGAAACACCCTTATTATTATTATTATTATTATTAACATGTCACTGTCACACATCATGCGCATGCACTTAGTTTTGTGTAAGACCTGAAAAGAGATTCATGGGTGTAATGTAACAGATTTGTTGTGTTGAGTTGTGAATTGGTGGCACCCCAGCCGCTAATTTAGCAAAGGATAAGGATTTGGTTGAGATTACTGTTTGAAGGTCGTTGGTAGAATAGAATGAGACGAAGCTTTGTTCAGTCAAATTCAATAGCTTTATAAATGTTTTATTTTATATGTTAACAAATTAATGCACGTGCTTTTCACTCGAGAGAAAAGGGCAAGAGAAACACAAGTCTCTCAATCATTACTCACGCTGTTCCTATTCTACTGTTACCAACTAATTCTTTGACCATTTACTCTTTCATTTTGAATATTTTTATTTCGTTTTTTCACGCATAATCACTTTCACCATCAATCTTATTTTAATTTATGTCAAATATTAATCTATCACTTTCTATTTATATCATCATCTTTAGAAATTTTGTTCTTTCTTTTTTATAAGAATTTCTATTTATTATTTTTTTTATTAATTATTTTTTCCTAAAATATCCTTGCTTAAATGTTTTTATTACAAATCAATTAATAAATATTTCAAATGAATGAAAATATGAGTGTATGAATAATGTCTCACTAGTTTTAGATGTGATTATATAATTTGGAAACAATAATATAAATTATTAACCAATTTATTGTTATTAACTATTTTTCTTAAACGATATGAATTAATTGAGAGGATTTGCAGAAATAAAAACGAGAGGAGTAGATATCACGTCTCTAATGTTATAAAACGAATAAATATTTTCAAATTTTGTTAAAAGGTTTATAATGAGAATGGTTTAATTATTGTAGAATGAATGATTTATTAATGAGATAGTACTTTTTATTATTTATCACATGGGATTTTAACTATTTTAAAATTTTAAAAGAATATAATTTATATAAATGATGTGATTTATGTACAGAGACGGATTTACGGGGCCACGGGCCCATCATTTCTTTTTTTATATATATAGCGATTATTTTTTAAAATTTAAATAATTTTTTATAAAAATAAATAAAATTTAAACTTAATGTTTTAAGAAAAAATTATTTATAATTAATATTATATTTATTTTCTTATAAAATTTGGTGCGTACACTTTTTTTTATCTTCATATTTTAATTTTTTTTTCTTCCACCATTTTGTTTTTTTTTATTTCAATTTTTTCTATCACGCTTATTTTATTTTCTCACATTTTTTTTCATTTCAATTTTTTTCTATCATACTTATTTTATTTTTTTGCATTTTTTTATTATTAATTTATTTTTATATTATTCTTTTTTATGAATTCGTCCTACCTTTTAAAATTTATAAATTTTTTTCATTACTTTATAAATTTTTCTTGTTTATATTTTTCATATATTTAACATAAAAATTATAATTATTTGTTCTCCATTTTTTTTTTGTCTTTTCTATTCACATTGAAGATATAATAGAGAAGTTAAAAAATATAAATGATATTTTCTAATAATTTGCTTGAAATAAAGAAATAATAAATAATTTTTTCATTATTTTTACTTATTATCATAACAAATTTATATGTATAGTATAAATTAAAATATGAAATATAAATATATTTTTTAATTATTATAAATTAATTAATTATTTTAATATTATATTATGTTTTATTTTGATATCAAAATGCGCAAAAAAAGTTCGGATTAAATTTTAAAGAGGTCTAAAATAGAAATTATAAATTCGATTTATATATATATATATATATATATATATATATATATATATATATGAAATAAACTTTATCTTCTAATAATAATATTAAATATATTGATGAATATCTCATATAATATATATTTTTATATAATAATTAATCTTTATATTATGATATTCTTATTTGAATATATTTTCATCGGTTATTATATAAGTTTATTTAAAGAAATAAGTCAGTTTTATAAATAAACAAAATTTTGATATACTTTTTGTGTGTGTGAATTAAGATATATTTCTGTAAGGAGTTAAAGATTAATTTTTGAAAATGCTGATATTTTTATATAAGGAATGGATGTATTGCATACATGCTTAAGAGGACAACAGTATTTTATCCAATTAAATTTAAAATTTTGAAATATTATCCATCAATAATAGAAGAACCACAATAAATAGATATTTTTGCATATGAACTCTATTTGCAACTGTAATCAATGTAAGATAGAGATGAGTGGACACGACATGAGCAAGTCACGGTCTCCAACTTTGTGTTTTTCATTACTTATGAACATGTCCTGCCCTCCAACTTTGTGACTATCTGTCTTTTAAATTCTATTTAAGTTTTGCTTTTTCATTTTAATTCTTAAAGGTATTTTTTTAATTATATATATATATATATATATATATATATATATATATATATATATATATATCACTACTTAATAATAATATGAGACATTGCATTTTTAAATAGAAATTATGATATTACTAAAAATGTACATATTATTCATATTACTAAAAAAGTGAGTCTGTTCTTAAAATAGTTATACTTTTTGGGATTAAATCAATATTTTATTTGAAATAAAAAACGTAAAAAACACGTATTTATAAAATTTATTTAAGTTTATATTCTTTTGCATATTTAATTGATGCATCTGAATTTTATTTTACATATTTAAAATTTTATTTTTTGAAATTTCTGGGAAAATGATAGAATTTTCCTATTAATTAGGAAGATTTACTTGTATAAAACAAAAGGAAAATAAGAAATGGAAGAAAAAAAAAAAGTCTCTTGATCTTATATAAATTTATCCTTTTCTCACAAAACTTCGACCACCTTTCTCTGTTACAAGTTTCAATTATTAGAATATGATTTCGTACTTTGAATTTTGTAATAGTTATTTTAAAATTATTTTTTTATTGATTATCAGTGAAAAATATTTTAATTTGATAATGTACCGTCACTAAACTTAAACATTCAAACGCATATCAATTTGTTATGTTATTCACTCTATATATTCTGATTTCATATACTTTTTCTTTCAATAAAAAGGTTTTTATTTGACATTTTTAATTTTAATTTATTATCGATTTCAAATTATAAATATCAATATGTCCCTTTAAAATTAAAATCATAATAAAAAAATCGATAGAATATATTAAACTATTTTTAAAACTAATAAAAAATAAGTTTGTTTTAAATATATACATTTATAACAATGTCATAATAATAATAATAATAATAATAATAATAAATATTTTTTTTAATTCCTACCGGTCATATCACACATATATATATTAAGTCATTACGATTAGCATCATCTATAACTGAACCAATGTATATCAGTTCAAGCAGTGAACAGTTTAATTGAAAAAACACTATAAATAAAAAAAATCAACGAGAAAATTTTATTTGTCTTAAATAAGACCCATTTACTTCGAGTTAGGTTATTTAAACATTTAAAGTAATTTTAAAATATTAAAAGACTAAAATAAAAATATTGATTAAAATTAAAAGGAAAAAAACAAGAACTATACTTCATTGTGTAGGTTAATAGGTGTACTACTGTCCCAAGAAGTAAAATGGGTGAGGTAAAGACGTGCAATAATTGCATTATAAATAGTTAGTTAAAAGTTTAGGGTTGAAATTCTTATTTGATGTAACGTTCAACGAAACATATGTTTCTTGAAACAAACAAAAAATGGTAGTTTTTGCATAAGCAAACCTTTAACATTAAAGAAATAAGTGACCTTTTCAGAATGTGTTTTGATTTATTTTAATTATAGTTTTCAGTTAATATATTACTTATTGAAAAAAAAGTTTAAAATTTGTATGCACAAATTCTTGAAATAAAAAATTAAAATGGAAAGGATAATATTTTTATAATAGATTAAATTTGACTGATACTCTTTGATAGTTAAAATTATGTAAAATCTCCTTCAAACATATTCTAAATAGTAGCTCTGAATAGGAATGCATTTCTTTTATTTAGAAGCTTAATTTGAAACAAGAAAAGCGAATTCTTTCATTGAAGGTATGTTTGAATCTACAGAAAAGCACTTTCGATCGAAAGGTGTAAACTCCTGGTGACATTTAGCCCATGTGATGGCATATAGCCAAGAATATTTCTTAATCAATTTCTTCATTGACAAGCTTTGAGAACTGTGCCATAACTGCAAAATAGTCCCATGATTGAGAGATCAAATGCAATATTTGATCAAATTCTGCTTATGATTGCAGAAAGAAGACAAGAGAAATGCTAGAATGGTAGACAAAGTCCAGTTTAGAGTTGTTATCGAAGGCACTTGTTTGTTATGGACCATTATCTTCAATTTTTTCAAGATGCAAAATGATGAGCTTGTTGCACACATGACATATAGGGTACTCCTCAGTTTTATGAGTGAACCCCACTACTTATCAGAAGTGGCTACTCTTGGCGATATGCAAACAAGTAGCATTTTTTTTCACTGTCTATAGAGATCGTTATTAATGTGATATATATTTTCCAAGTGTCACTACATCACAAGATGTGACTTCACTATTCTTTACTTCTTCCTTTTTTCATTTGGGGCTCAAACAGAAAAAAAAAATCTCATTTACATGAAAATAGATGTATTCAGAAACAAAAAGAGGGAAAAATAAAAACGCAATATGTCCAAAATGCACTCATAACAACCCAGATACGTTTTCTTAGTTAAATTACAACTTTTGCAACTTCAAAATAAATCTGAAACAGGGGAATTTTAATAACATCTCCTGCATTTTCTATTTAAATATGCTATTTTAAGAGGTTCATATTAAATGATCTTACACTGGGTACTAATCTCTACCTATGAGACTATTATGTATACTCACTAAGAATCAGTATAGCATAAGAATCTTCAATTTTTTCCTCAATGATATACCATCCCACAATAAAATAACTTGTGATGCATGCCTTCTCTTGTCAACACTGTCACATAGCATCCATGTTCCATAAAGTAGTATCCTCCACGCTGTCTAACATCCATCCATTCCCTGCAGTCTGAAAATCAAACTGTGGGAAGTCATAAGTTCCCATGGCTGAAAGGGGATCCATGTTTAGTCCTTCCATGCCATAGTTACTGGTAAAAGCACAGCAATTGTCCTGGATTGGATAACTGTAAACGTTGTTCTCAAGCACATTGAGAGGACTTTTGGGGTGTTCAGAAATTTCAAGTAGTTGTGAAAATGGGTAGGAATCTGGGGATGGATTGATGGGGTTGGACATGGTACTAAAATGATTTGCACCATCCATAATGAATTCCCTCTCTGGAGGAGATGATGAAGACATAGAGGGAATATTGAAGTTGCTTGACATTGAACTCATAGAAGCTTCTCCAGAATTCCCTAAATTCACCATGTTTGTCATGGAAGAGTGAGGGCTTGGAGAATTGTTCTGTTCCATCTTTTGGAGCAACCTTGGCATCCAAAAACACTTGACAGCATCAATGAATCTCTTGCTTCCAGACTCAATGTTAAGTTGGCGTGCCTGCTTCTGTACCCTTGTTCTCCAATAATTCTTGATCTCATTGTCTGTTCTTCCTGGCAGATGCTGAGCAATTTTTGACCACCTGTCCCAAAATGAACAAAAACAAAAGCATGTCAAACTCATTGTGATTGGTTCAACAAGGCTAATTTTGATTGCATAAATGCTCATTTTTTGGACAGATCATTGGTTAATGGTTACCTGTTACCCCACTTGGAATGGAGTTCAAGGATCAAGAGTTGCTCCTGTGGAGTGAGGTTCCCTCTCTTAATGTCTGGTTTCAAATAATTCAGCCATCTGAGTCTGCAGCTTTTTCCAGTCCTCTTCAATCCTGAAATGTTGGATTGGAATAATCTTAGAAAGGTATTAAACAGTGAGAAGAGAATGAACTTATTCCTCTAACTTCAAACGTACGTGGAATATGTACCTGCACTCTTTGCCAACATATTCCATCGACCTTCTCCATGACGAGCAATATAGTGAATGAGTAGGCTGTCTTCTTCAAGAGTCCAAGGTCCTCTTCTCAGCTCATTCTCCTCCTCATTAGAACTCAAATCTCTCTTTGCAATTGTGGACATGGTTAATTGGTGTTTTTGTGGTTATTCAAGACAGTAAAAGAATGGTACACAAATTTAACTTGGTGTTTGCAAGAGCAAAGTAAGTGATGGATGGTTTGAATATGATATGGCTCAGAAGAAAGTTTAAGGTAACAGCAGTAGTAGCAAGCAAATTAGAAATGAGTTCCAGTGAGTGTTTCTACATCATCATCATGGGTCTATATATATATACTCCCCACGGAATTTTGTTAAATGGGTTTGGTAGACTAGGGAACAAGAGGCTATAAGTTAGCTCTTGGAATAACCAAAGTTGTAAGTGATTAAATTATTATGCCCTTTTCAAAATAGGTCCCACCTTTACTATTCCTTAGTTATGCAGAACACCCTGGACCAAGATACTAAATTGCAAGTGTTCACAAATCACCTTCAACTGTCCGTTGCACCATTATCTCCCACTAAATAAACATCAACGAATCTAAAAAACAGTTTACAAAAGAGGAATATATTAATGTTAACTAAGGAAGTTAATTTACTGGAGCTGCGCAAATCAACAACTTTCCTCTACTATCAGGATAAGATTTTGAATACTTGACCATGTAAATATTGACTGTGAAAAAATTAGCTGCGGAATAATAATTTGATTATTAAACAAGGTTTTTGTTTTCAGTGCACCTTTTTGTTGTAAGAATGATTCTGGCTTGCAGAATTCAAGAGAAACACGCCAAAGATTCTTTCTTAAGAATACATGTATCCCATGTTAATAACTAAAGAAAATCTCCATATACTAATTAGAGTCCGTTATGTTCTTTTTTAACTTTTAGAGAATCCAGTATCTTTCTGTCGTGACATTTGAACGCGAAACCAATGTTCTAGGGAAAAAAAATATGATTTGAAGAAAGGGAAATTTAACCTACATCTCTAACGGCATGCCTTTATTCCAGTCTAGGGTAATACTTTATACAGCAGTAGAAGAAGCAAAAATTCGTGTCACACTTTTCTTTGCCATTAGATTCTCCTCTCAATCTATACATAGTTACGTTACTCTACATAATGATTGTATTTTTCTGATTCTGCGAGAGTTCTCTCTCAAAGTTGTCCTTTGCATCATTGTGCAAGTAAGTGGTCTTCATCACTTTTTTTGTAATCACAGTTGTATTACCATGCTTGTTTTCTCCTGCAGAAAAGACTCTTTACAAAAGTAACTACACTTCCTTTCCCTTACCATAAAGCACTTTCCTATTACGTATTTAACTTTCAGCTTTGGAGTTAATCCGTTTACGCATTAATACAATTTGTTTTTTAAATTATGTTAAGAGTAGATTAAAACTCATTGAAAATCTCTATTAATATTATTTTTTAAGAATTTAAGTCTCAACTAATAAAAACTCATTATTGATATAACTTTAAAATAATTATTACTCGTATAAAAGTTAACAAATTATTGGTATAATTTTTAAAATATGATCACTATAAGTTATATAACAAATATATTCTACGTGATAGTTTATAATTGAATAATAACAGTAATTCTTTATGTTATATGTGCATTTAATAGTTATTAATTTTATAAAATAAATGATTTTTTTATCCTCCATTATCAAATATTATCTAACATTTTAAGTTAGTCCCAAGGTTCAATAATTGAGCATATGCAAATTCCTAGTCAGTACAAGGAAAAAAAAAGTCACTTCGAGGAACTCTGTTGTTGAAGTCCGTAAGAATTTACATGAGATGATTAGGATTTTTGGCATATGTAGATTGTACAGCTCTATATGGTTTTATAGGATTCTTCTTGATAATGTGGGTTGAAAAAGATAACTATCTTCTTGAAGATAAGGTCATTATCTTTAGGTGGCTATGTAGGTGTTTTGAATTGGTGCGTAGCTGATGTTGTTGGAGGTTGTTTTGGATCTTTCCTGGTCTACAGGTATTTCATGACATCGATCATGGAGGAACGGGTCTAGACTATGTTAGGCTTAGAATAAGATTTTTATTAACTTTTATAATATTTGATATAACATATTTTAATTTTTAAAACTGTTAAACTTATTTTTAGCAAGTTTTCTTAGTATTTTTTGAATATACTACGTAGTTACATGGAGGACAAAGCCTGCTTAGTGATTTCTGGTGTTAAATTGTAATTTGATTAGAAAGAAGTGGTGAAAGTTTATGAATAGATTCAGATATAACAGAGTATGGCAGTCTCACATAAAATGAGAAAGCATGATTTGAATGACTGTTGAAAAGGGTGTTTACATTGAATTTTTAACAGTGTTTGATCATCACAAAACTACAAGTATCTCTAATATGAAAGGAAAAACTAGAAGTTGAAATGAATGGATGGAGGGTGTGGTGTGTTTTGCAAGTATTTCTATATAAGTAACGTGTTTGACTGAGGAAAAGAAAAGGGAAGTGAGAAGAAGATGACAGTGTAGAGATACATACAATGTAAGAGCATGGACACCAGCGGGGAAGAAGCACGTCAGCAACTAATATTTGTTTGGTCACACAGTGGGGACACTTGGTTTGTCTCGGCTAGCCAGCTGTTTCCTTCTTCTTCTTCTTTTTTTCTCTTTCTCTATTTTTCTCCTCCATTCCACCAAAACCACACATGTCAAAACCCACACACACAAACATATGCAACAATTTCATCTAAATCCACGTTTGTAAAATAAAGTATTTTAACTTCATTAACGCAGAGTATACATGCTGAGGGGTTCGTTCGTTCCTCTGGACTCCAATTTTGAGTTCAAATCATTTTCATTTTAGAAAATAAAGAAGATAAATTGATCTTTTAATAGATCAAGAAAAGGGCAATTTAAAACATACAACAATGGAGTCTTTAGAAGCCCTATACATATATAAAATTTACGTGTATTATTATAATGTATTTATAATAATTATTAATAAATACTTTGATATATATGATAAATTATAGTTAGACAACTATAAAAACATATTTTTCATTGTTAACTACACAAACTATTTCACTGTATGGGGAAACAACGGTCATTTCTCTATATATTCTTTATATTTTATCTTTTTAATTATGTTTTTGTCTTTTTTTCTACATCTGATTAACATTTCTTTTTAATAAGGTGAATTTCAAATAAATTAATGTGGATATATATTTTTTGAATATGAATCACATACGAAATATATAAAAACAAAATAAGTGTCAACACTATGCCTGTAGAAACTGAAAATAACTACACCCACAAAATATCAGGTACAAGCGTGATAAAAGTAAAGTGAATTTTCTTTAACACGGCAAACCAAATACATAATATCTAGATTACATGCTTGGGGTTGGTTTAAACTAAATTGGGTCATATTCATCATTCATTATAATTAAAAATATTAAATTTTAATTTTATATTTTTTTATTTGACTTAATCTAATTTAACAAATATTTGAGTTTTATTATTTAGGTTATTTAGTTTTAATTTCAAAATATTAAAAATATATTTTTAAAATTAATCATATTATTTAATTTGTAAATAACTTAATAATTTAATATTTGGAAAAACAAATGAAATAATTGAATAAATTAAACAATATTTATATTGTTATTAATAATATTATTATTATTGTTTAATGATTTTAATTGAATAAAATTAAATTTTAAATTAAAGTATATAAAATTTATAGGTTAGATCAAATTTTACTTATTCACAAAAGAAAATCCAACTTAATATATTTAAATTTAATGTCTAATCCATTAAATGTCCGTACTAACAATCATGCATCGTCAGCATAAAATACACACATAGATTATTAAGTCCAAAATGCGAAAGGTGTTCAAACCCAAAATCGAGTGCCCAATTAACCATACGACCCTAGGTCAAAAAGAAAGCCTACTTTTTTAGTGCAAATATTTATCGGGGTAAGTTACTTTAGAATTTCAAATATATTAATATATTCCTTAAATATCTTGTTTGTTAGTTCCATCTTTCTAATATATATATATATATATATATATATATATATATATATATATATATGTTAATAATGATTAAAAATTGATAAATTATAATTAATTTTTTTATTAATGACAACTATATTTTATTAAATAAAATAAATCAAAGAGATAAATTTTTAAATTACAACTAAAATTATAAAGTATTCTATTTAAATCAAAACATATTGTGTTTATATTTATTGATTAATTTTGTACACTTTATCAAAGTTTAGAAAAACAAAATTTAAACAATTCTGACTAAATCCAAACAATAGTTCAAAACCTAAACCTTAAAAATATAAAAAGGCACAAATTAAATAATGTAAAATTTTAAAACAAATAGTGCAAAATTTAACTTTTGTATTTTAAAAAAGAAATATTAAAGTTTATAATATAACAAATAAGTATATAATAACACTAAAGAGTTGTTAGATATAGAAGAAAGCATAAGTTTTTTGTGTTTTGTTGTGATAAAATGAAAAGCATGAGTAATTAATAAGATGAACAGTGAATGATGGAAGAGGAGAGGTGATATTGTACTGGAGTGAAGAAGACATGAAAATGTCGCATCACAGAAAGAATGGAGGAGATGCCATAAAGGTTTCAAAGTTGTTTGAAGGTGGAGGAGATATCATAGATTAGATTGATGCTTTTTATCACCTCCCTTTTTAGTCCTAAAAGCCTACGAGGGATAGATAATTAATGTGACATGTGATGGATTAAACACATTAACAAAATTTGGTCTTATGTTTTATTTTCCATTACTTATTAAATATGGTACATAACTGTCTTAATATTTATTTTATACTAATTTGATTCAGTAAAATATCATCAGCATTGTTTTCAGAATAATCAAACTTGAACAATATAAAATAGTTTAATTTTAAATTTAATAATATTATTCACTTATATTTAATTGATAATTATTTTTATTTATTAATTAAGTAAAGGTAGTATGAATAGACATAAAATGGGTTAGAAAGAGAGCATGCGTGGTGGGCACGTATCTATGACTTAAGAACAGGGTACACCCCTATAATTAAGCTTCATTAAATTAAACAAGTTGGCACGTACCCTAAGTAAGGGTGCCTCTTTCTTTTCCAGATTTTTCTATTCCCACCTTCCTTCCTTCCCTATATACAAGACCTAATCATAGGATTGAGACATTCTGTGGTAACATTTTCAACTGCACAAATCATAACCATTTAAAACCTTTATTATTTCACTAAAAAAAACTTTATTGTGTTTTTTTAACAAGATTGATTTTTTTTTTTAATTAGTCAGCATCGATTAATAATTGTAGGATCCAAGTACGACCTTATATGATCTTTATTTTTATTTTTTTATGAAAAAAAAAGAATAGAGGCTTATTGCAAGATAAGAATATTAATAGACTGGACAAATAATGAATATTGTGTTTTTTTAGGTATATTGCACATTTTTCAAACATTCAGCTACATACATTTAATTTATATTTATATTTCTTTATTTAAAAATAATGTTTTAATATCGTTACTATTTTCATATTTACATGTATAAGAAGTAACTATGAATATTGGATGCTTATGTAAAAATATAATGCCTAATTTGAATTATTTTTAACCCAGTGACGTTATTTTATATTGTTCTCCAAGAATCAGTTCTTACAGAGGAGTTTTAAAAACACTTAAAAAAATTATTAATATATATAAACTTAAATTAAACTGAAATAATTTACGGTTAATTAATCCATGTCATATTTCTAGTTAAGAAATCAAAGTAGTAAAATAATTTAAAAAGAAAAAAATTTACGACTTAGAAATTTATGCTGACTATTGATGGATCTCCACCACATAGCTATGAACCTGTTATTGCGTAGGCATTGGAACTTAGGTGGTGTGTGGAACTTCTGTCTCATGAATTTGGAGTTGAATTGTCTGCAAGAATAAGCTTTCATGACTAGTAATTTTTTTAACCATCATAAACATGTATTTATGAACATGGATATTAAACACCCTACTCAATCATGATAAATATGCATCCGTAAAATTTTGATCTCGTTATTTAACAATTTTTTTACGGAGCTTGTTACAATTCAAGCACCATATTCAACTAATTTGGCTAAACTACCTTAACTTAGTTACTTAATATTGAAACGTGTTTCTTCTTTGACCAAACAAAAAGTAGGTAGGAATGTTATTCACACTCCAGTTTTTGTCAGAATTTATGGAAACTACTCTCATAATATGGTTATGTTTTATTTATTTTATATGGACCATAAATTTTACAAAGAGCAATCATACTCAAACTGCATCAGACTAGCATGGGTAACACAACTCTTTTTTTATTATTTAACATATATTAAGAATTCAAACTTAAAATGTTAAATTGAAATAATAATGCATAAGTTGATCAACGCGCTAAGTGCTTCGTCATTATGATTTAACACATTACAAGAAGAATACTTTTTGTACAGAAAATTAGAAAAGAATTGCACAGGTAGTGTAAATAGAAAACGAGACGTGAATTTAAAAGTTTGTTAATGTCATTGGGCCGTTTTTGAACAAAATAGGCTACTGATAAAAAAAGACTGGTGATTGGAAGAGATCTTCCATCCTTCCAAGAATGATACACTTCTCACTTTTCATCCACCCCTGAACCCCTTCCCAGTTCTCCGTCGAGTCTTTTGACGAATTCTTACTTCAATTTCACATCCATTTTCTCTAATGTAGCGAAATTATTGAAGTTTGTTTTCATCAGCAAAGTTAATTTTATTTTGATTTTCGCACGAAAAGTGGAAGTAATTTGCAAAATTGTATTATTGCCAAAACCCAAAATTGCTGGTGTTGAGCTGCTAATTAGAGGTCAATTTGCAAATGGCTACATCTGTTGATGCCAGTAAGAATGGGAATTGGAAGCGAAAAGAATTGTGGTTTCTCGTGATTTATGCAATCGTTTTCTATGTTATCATTATCAACCGTTCACTTCAACTCTCTAGTGGTATATGTTTTAATGGTTTCAGTAATTGTTCTTATTCATACTACTTGCTTAGTTGCTGTGCATTGAGTGCTTTGGGTTTTGATTTTCACAGATTATTACAGACAGCTATCAGGCTTACGCCCGGGTTGGCTCTTAGCACATCACCTCAATGTATGATCCTGCTCTTTTTGGTCATTATGATAATTTTGTCAGTTATGAGTATTTCATTTGTTGGTCATGTTGCTTGCTGATCAAATGTACATGCTGTTCTTTTTTGTGTAAAGGATGTTTCAGATGCTCAGTGGAGGAATTTTCGAGGAAATCTACCTGTTCTTACTCTTGTCTTTGGAATTTTCACTCTGCTGGCCTACTTGATGAGGGCTTTCTTTAATTTAAGAGTTAGAGGAATGTCCATTGTGTGGCTTGTATTTTCTTTGACCTACTTGTCATATCTTCATGGAGCATGGTAAGTTGCACCATTTAATTTAATCTTGTTCTTTCTCCCATTGTTGTTATTCCTTACCTTTATCAGTCTTACTCTATAGTTTGTTTCATTTGCAGCATTGTTTTTATCCTATCAATAGCTACTGGTAATTTTCTTCTTGTAAAGGTGCGTGTACTGGAACAGTGAATATGTATTAGTTGCAATATTTTTTGTTGGGAGTCTGTAATATTGTTGATTTAAAATTTTTAATCACTTACTTAAAATTATCATATCATAACAGTTCTAGTTTTTTTTTTTTTTTTTTTCATTAAAACTAATTTCCCCTCAGGCTGCTTTATCTTAATTTCCATGTCATATTTAGAGATGTAATAAAAAAACATTTATATTTGATTTCGTGGATTTTTCATAGGAATGATACCCCTCCACTTGAAATAATTAAGATTTTATTTTGTTAGTTGATTTCTTGCTAACTATTTGCATTTCTTGGACTAGGACGATAGAATTTCTGAAAAGTAGTACTCTTTAATGAGAATGGTATTGCCATGGATGATGGATTATTTAAATCAATACCTTTACGAAACAAGAGTAAAAATTATTACATCAGAAGCTTGTAGCTAGCATTCTCAACAATCTTCTAAAGATGGATAGCTCTAAAGAGTACAGCCTCCTAAGTTTTGTATAGTGAGAGACTTGTGATTCATTTGGGAGAAATGTCTTTCCAGTGGAGAATATGGAGATGTATTTGGGGGAGGGGGGTCGACTATTGTAGAAGGTAGGTTGGTTTGACCTTGAAACACCAACAATTTTGGTTTTTTATGGCCAAAAAGAAAATGTTGAAGTTTTGGAGACCAAATAAATATTTTATGGCTTGGAAGTATTTCCTTGTATCCATCATTATATAACATATTACAATACGAAAAATCATCTTCCTCTCACAATTCTAATCCTGGATATTTATTGACAGGTTATAATAGATATTGACTAATCCTAAGAACTTTTGATGCTTTGACCATTTTTAATTGATGTTTAAATAACCATATCTATAATCCGTTTGCTCCTGAACAGATAATTTTTTGGTCAATCATTATGTTGTTGTATTTAATACCATATTTATAACTTTTCAGCAGTTTGCATGTAAGACTAATTCTGTTTGAGCAGATCTTTGCACAGAAAGAGTACTTTCCACTTGTAGTTTGGAGTTACAACATATTGTTTCTTCTCTGTAATCGGATTTATGAAGGATATTCATTCTCTATGTTTGGGTAAGATGCATAATATTTGTTGTATTGATACATTGTTTGGTAGGAGTAGTTCTATTTCCACTTAAGATTATGTATTGAAATTGCAGGCAACAGTGGGCATTTTTGGACAATTACCGGGGCAGCTTTAGGTGGCACATCTGCTTCAACTTCGGTATGTTTTGTTTATTATTTAATTGAGTTCTTACTGTATTTAATAAGTCAGAATAGTCCATTTATACGTGATTCTTACATTCATTGGTACCTTGGTTCATGCTCGTTGGACTGTTCCTCATCCATCACCTGCATTCATATAAAATTATGCTAATTCAATCATTCCTCACCTTTTAACTAGTGTCATGTTACACTGATTTATTATTTAGAACACTTATGGGCCAGAATATTAAACTTTGGTGATCTAAATTCTATTTTTCATTTTGCATTTTATGAATTATATATACACATCTTTGTATTCTCATTTTGCATACCATTATGTATTGTAATAATATCAATAACTTGATATATGGCTCTTTATATTTAAGCTTAGATGTTTGTCGCAGTTGCTTTGCGCATGATAAGCTTTGCATTTGATTATCACTGGACTAATCGAGATTCTCATTTTGATCAGGAGGTATTTGTCTCTTTCTTTCTGAAAATAGTATTTGCTTGTTTTGAATATAAGATTCTATTGTGCAGTTGCACCCTTAATTTAATATGTTTGCAGGGATGACAATATATTATAATTGTTTGGGCCAAATTCTTTTGAAATTTTATTACTAAAGAGTTATTCTTGATGTTACTTCAAAGACATAAATGCTTTTAGAATCATGTAGAATGTAAATATAGAAGATTATTATTTAAATGATTTTTTGCTTAAGTGCTTCACTTCACTAGTGCATAAAATCAGACTAGTTTAGTTAGGTTGTAGCTTTTTGTATATTTCTACAGATTAGAATATAGACTGGGAACAGCCTTGTTCAGTTAATTTCCTTTAGGTAAAACTATTATGTTGCTGTCTTCATTTTTCTTGAATGGTCGATTTTGACATCTTCTGGACATTGCATTTCTTGAAATTCTAGCTTGCAATATCAATGTCAAATGCACATTTTGTCATGGAGTTGTGACCTGTAACTATTGTTTAGGCTTATGACTTTGGGTATCAAAATGATTAATAAATATTCTTTTCACTGTCTAATTCTTTGATTATCGCAGAAGCATTATCAGCGTTGTCATATTTGTAAATCCGGAAAATCTTGCTATCAAGTTTTACAGGTTAGGATAGCTGCTAGTTAAAATCAAGACAAGGTGAATTTATCATAGTTGCTGACTTATGTTTTTTGCTTATTTTTTTCCTAATTTTTTTAAGTAGTTATAATTTCTATTGTGCATGTGCACACATGTTTTCCAGTTCTAATTTTAATTACATTATCAGGAGAGAAGTCTGCATAATGACAAGTTTGGATATATCACATACCTTTGTTATCTGGTATATTCACCACTTTATATCGCTGGTCCAATACTGAGCTTCAATGCTTTTGCCTCACAGGTTTGTGACTGCAAGTTATTTTGATGGTTTAAGCTTCATTACTGACGTCCATATTACATTGTGAATAGTTGTGGTCTTTGCAAAACCTCTATTGAAGAAATGAACTCTGATCTTGTTATTTTCAAAAGGAGATGTCTATGCAAGATATATTTGTTTAAATTGGAAAAGAAACCACATTTGTAGTCATTGTTTAGAAATTTGATGGTATGACACAAGGATTCATGTTTCATTTGTAGCAAAAAGGCACTCAAATTTTACAAAAACTTTTACCATATAACTAAATACCTGCAATGTTATATGCAATGGAGTATTGGATGGTTATAAGCCAGCATGAGAATAAATTCTATGCAGATAAGATTGAACATACTAGATGTTGAAAGTCCCACATCGCCTACCTCGTGTCATTTGGTATGGTTTAAATACATGTTAGGCTACTCCACATATTGCCAATTGGTTTTATGTTGGAATCTTAACATGGTATCAGAGCCAAAGCCTAACATCTTTCCGGTTATTGTCATGGGCCAAAAGTTGCCCTTTAGTTGGGTCAAAAGTACCCCTTTGCCTGGTCCGGCAGGCTTCGTTGGAGGGGGCGTGTTGAAAGTCCCACATCGCCTATCTCGTGTCATTTGGTATGGTTTAAATATATGTTAGGCTACTCCACATATTGCCAATTGGTTTTATGTTGGAACCTTAACACTAGACAAGGGCCTTGTTTGAATAAGTTTCTTCATAAACTCTTAAGGAAAAGAAAATAAAAATGAATAAGTTTCTCCCACAAGCTAGAATTAGCTTATGTATAAGTTCAAATATGCTTTTAGAGAAACTATAATTGCTATAATTATTTGTGGAGAAGCTTATCCAAATTGGGTTAAGATAGAAAAGTGTGCGTAGCTCTTATTGTAAAAAATAGTAGTTTTTTATCTTAGGTGATTTGGGCATGTGTTGGGAACATCTGTTGAAGACCTCATAAGAAGAGTTCATCAGTTGGAGGGTATCCCTGTCCCTAGAGGCTACTAGGGGGCTAATAGGGAAAGAAAATGAAATCAACAAAATTTCACTGAGAAGGGGAATCTTATTATTAATTTCAATTCAAGTAGTAGGAACTGACAGTCTCTGATTGGATGTTTTCAAGAGAAATGGCCATTACAAAGATTCATTCAACAACGGCTACAGCCATTCCAGAATGATCCTCCCCTCGAGATACCTGTGAACTATAACAATTCCCCCTCACACTCGATGGATCCCACCCACCTGCATAACCAACTCTGAATTGATAGTGTCCCTTGCCAACTTATCAATCTTCTCACTAAGCATGACATCGGAACTTGTATCACTTGCTTTGGGCCTCTTGTAAACCTTTATTACCTATGACTATTGATCAATAGGCTCAAGGCTCACGTTACTGTCATGCCTCACCACCCCTTTCTACTAGTTCATTTTAGGCTGGTTTCTCCTCTGTACTAACCGTTTCTTCCTAGAGGTCCACAAATAATGAACTTCTTGTGCTGGAAAAAATGTCTTCTAAAGCCATACTACTAGGCAAAGTAGGGTAGACATTGTGGTGTTCAGGGCTTTTTTCAGCTTAGAAGCAAAAACATCCTGTTTAGAGAAGACTTGAAAATGCCTTTTGATGATGATAATTCCTTTTTGTGAGGTATATACTTGATATAGATGCAACCCTTGATGTGAAACTTTTCTGATTGTCTGCGAACATCAGCAATCTTCGTCATCAAAATCTATGCCATGTAAAAACTTCTTGTGCTCTCAATCAACTCCTAGTCAACTTGTTTCAGCTGGAATACATTGTATGATTGTAGGTAATTTCCTGCTATAAACCACCTCAAAAGGTGTCATGCTAGTGTAAACTTGGTAAGAAGTATTGTACCAATTCTTTGGGCTGTACAAAAGAAAATTGGAGCAAATAAGCTTCGAGGCTGAGGTATTGCTTCGTAAATTTAAATGATCAACTAGCAAATGTCTCCACTAGTCAGTAAGAGGTCCTTCAATTAGTTATATATGTAACAAGCTAATGCATACGATTTATATGCTCTATAGCTTTAGGGGGAGTGTTAGAAATAATGTATATAAGATGATTATGGGTTGATTTAGTGTTGTATGTTAACATATAATTATTTAAGCATGGTAACTGTAAATCCTTGTCTTTATGACTCAGTACATATAATATTGTCTGTTGTGTAATTGAGACCTACAAAATTCATCATGTCTCATTTTCTCTCTTAACAATTTCTGATTGTTTCTTGTGTCAAATTGTGGTCAAGTGCTTTTGAATGGTTGCTTGAGTTTCTTTTTTGTTGATGATACTGGTTCTAATATTTTGCAGCTAGATCTTCCTCAAAACACGAATTCTGTTAGAAATGTGACACTCAATGGTTTTCGCTGGATATTGAGTTTTCTCCTTATGGAATTAATGACACATCTATTCTACTATAATGCCTTTGCTAATAGGTGAGAACTTCAGTATTCAGGAAAGAACCTCCGGTTATATTTAATTTTCATTCCACTTTTATTGTTTGATTGCTGAAATAATGTCTATATCAATTAGTGATTTGTGGAAGCACTTATCGCCTATGGACGTGTTCATCATTGGATATGGCGTAAGAGAATACATATTCATCAATTAAGTGGTTTTACCAAGCCTAATGATGTCAACGAATCATGTAGCCAACCTCATTGAGTGGGCTAAGGCTTAGTGGTTGTTGTATCGTAATAACAATTAAACTAGATCTTCAAGTTTCCTTCTCAATGTTTTCTATTTATTTGTTCCAGGTATTAAACTTCATGTGGCTAAAATTTTTATTGATCTGGCGCTTTTTCCGGTTATGGTCACTGGTATGTTAGCTTCTTGTTAAGCATATAGGATAAATGTCCAAATACATACTTGAAGAAAGTCATTACTTTTGAGTTATTCATTGTAGATAAACGGAATTGAGGCTCCGGAGAATATGCCAAAATGTATTAATAATTGCCACAATTTGGAAGGCTTCTGGAAAAATTGGCATGCTTCCTTCAACAAGTGGCTTGTGAGGTGCAATCAATTATTTTTCCTGGATTTTGCTCTTTGTTTTCCCAGATAATAACTTAAATTTTGATTGGCAAGAAATTCAGGTATATTTACATTCCTCTTGGGGGATCTAAGAAAAAGCTACTAAATGTCTGGGTTATATTCACGTTTGTTGCAATCTGGCATGACTTAGAATGGTAGGTTCCCTTTATTGTTCAAGTTCAATCTTTACCTGTAAAAGTTGCACAGTTTTGTATCAGACGTTTTATGCTTGATTATTCTTATGGACCTTAGGAAGCTTCTTTCATGGGCATGGTTGACGTGTTTATTCTTCATCCCTGAGTTAGTCTTTAAATCAGCAGCAAAAGCCTTTCAGGTCATATCCACACTTTCTGTTATTGAATTTTTCATCGATCTATAGTTGTGATTCTTGCTGCCTAATGTGGAGGTAAATTTTATATCAGGCTCAAAGTTCTTTTGGAGCATGCATATTTCGTGAACTCAGTGCTGTTGCTGGGGCAGTCACAATTACTTGCCTCATGGTTTGTCCTTGACTAGCCTCAAAACATTTATGATATTGTAATTTAGTTATTATATTTTTATGTAACATTCTCATCAATTTTATGGCATCTGGCTACCTGAGAAAGTATCAGAATAATTTTTTAAGGGGCCAGTTAATGATGCAAAAAGTAATCTGATTGAACCAAATGATCTGGTGCGAGGCCTTTTATACAATACAACAAATTTGACGTTCAATTTTGACACATGACCACTAATGCTATACTAGTATGTGTGTGTACAGTCAACCATATCAAGGACAGTATTTTCCGTTTGGATCGTCAATAAAAAAATTACTATGAAATTTATGCATATACTTTTTTGCATCAAACTAAGAATTTTACAACACTAATATTCTGATTATTATTTTCCTTGGAAAATATTGAAAACCAAAATATTTGCCTGAAGTTTGATAGAACTGATTCAGACAAAAATACTGAAATTTAACTGTAGAATCCAGAGGAAAGAAGTAGGACGGGAACGTATATCTTGAGCGTTCTGGCGCTCTCTCCCAATCCCTACTCTTAAGTCTAAAACCTCTCCTCTGTTATTTCCCTCTCCTATTGTTTATATTCATCGCCCACTGTTCTAACTAACTGATGATACAATTGTAAATAGAACTGTTAATGAGTCTGTTCTGATTGCTGATTTCTTGAGCCAAGTTTATCTAACAAAGTGGTACAAAAAAGGAAGTGACTACTCAAAGAGTGGTAAATGGTTGTTTTGTTTAGACGTTGACTTGAGTAACCTTCCTCTTTTGGCTTTTTTTCTTTTCTGATTGTTTATTATTTCAGTTTTCTAAAAACTGTTTTATTTTGTTTATAAAACAAAAATATAGTTCATATCTAATTTAAATACCATGACATTCTTGACAGGTGGCTAATCTGGTTGGATTTGTGGTTGGACCAAGCGGCATTAACTGGTTGCTTTCTTCTTTCCTTCACAAGGAAGGTATGTCAAATATCTTTAAACTTCTAACATAATTGCAGTTAAATACAGTGAAAAATTCATTTGGAAATTCCATGACACAGGGTTGCCTGTCCTTGGCGGCATGCTTATGACATTTTACGTTGGAACAAAGGTTTGAGATGTTCAGCATTTATTTTTATGTTTTCCATCCTTCGAATTTTTTTTTCTTTTACTCCCTTCCATTTTTTGTTTAATAATCTTCTACCTGGATATTGGCAGATTATGTTCCACATTGATGAGGCAAAGCAGCAAAGGTTGCCCTGAACTGGGACAATTACTTTTGACCATGTGCAAATATTCAAACTCATTTTTTAGTGTTTTAGGAGTTTCAAATCCATTACAGAACCATGTGCTTGACTTGGCGATATCTTCGGGTGACTTTCTTTTTATTGAAAGATTTCCTGATGAATTTGTACATCAAGTTGAGAGCCGTGTCTTCTAATATTTCTCACCATCTAATGTCGCGGAATACGCTGAAAAATAGAGTAAATCTGTTGATTTTGACACCTGATAACATCGGTTTGTTTTTTGTTTGTTTTTTCTTTTATATTGTTTCAATTCAAGGTATGTGCTTGAGATATACTCGGTTCTCGAGAGCTCCAATCTCCTGTAAAATCCATTTTTGGGACATGTTTTTGTTTTATTTGACCATGTTGATGATATTTGATTTTACTTACAGTTTGCAGTTACTCTCGATAAGTTTTATTATAGATGCGCGTGATAACCCTAAGCATCTAATACACCTTATTAAAGATTCGAATGAAACATATAATAATTGAGTAAATACCTATTATTTTCCTTGAAAGAAGTTGGAGGTCTCAGGTAGGTCCATCAATAAAAATTTGTTGCAGGTTCTTAAAAAATTTGACCTCTTGTTGAGTATATTAGTCATTCCATTAGGGTATTGTACCAAGTTTGTTAATGTTGTAATGTGAATAGTGGAATGATAATTATTGGCCCTCTTATCCAGTTCAAGTGGATTAAATGGTTGGCATTTGGGATATTTTTCATCTGTATTAAACACTTTCTTCATTTTTATTGTATAATTTTTCATGGAAACATAATTTGCTACTATATAATGTACCGATCTTTTTTATTAAAATTATTATAAGAAATAATTAATAAAAAATGAATATAGAATATAATATAACTTAAAAATTAACAAAAAAAAAATCACAAAAATTGAGTGTTTTTATAGGATGCGAGATTACTTTAATTTTTTTTATCATATTAATGTTTTATTTAGCTAACAAATTATGTAAAAGTAAAACAGCTTAACTTATAAAAACTTTAAAAGTAAAATGAGAATTTAAGAATTCTAAAAAAAAATAACTGCTAAAGATACTAAATGGTGTAACTTAATAAAAAAAGTGTTCGAGAGAATAACATAATTTGAAAGGAATACTATAACCAAATTATTTAAGTTATAGTCCGTAGAAAGTGTTTATAGAATCAATGGAGGAAATTTTTTGTTACCTCCAACAACTTTTTTATCACGAAAATGGGTATTTACTCTCTAAGAATTATATCAAAAGTATATCTTTAAACTGTTTAGGTGATATCGTTTGAGTTTAGCTGTGAGAAGGAACTATTTTTTGGGTTGGTTAGTTTAGAGTGAAGTGCATACCGAATCAAATTAGGAAAACTATGAGATACATAGCCAACAATTATTGCTGGAATTTTATTCTCTCAGAACAAATATACATGGACATAGAGACGTTCCATACTCCAGAGAATCACATCATAACATGTTACATCAGCCAAAAATACGATTAAGAGTTGCAGCCAGTCGAACTCCTCCTTGAGCTAATCGCAAACTGACCACTGGCAAACGTGATATAAAGTAATCGTCTGCAGAGAATTATTTCATGATATTGTGAGAAAATCTGTAGAAGTGGATGAAACCTAAACTGCACAGAATTATTATCTTACCTTCTAGCACTGAACCTTCAGGGGCACCTTTATATGCCCATTTGCAGGCTGCTTGAATGCCTTCAGAAGCATATCTGAAAAAATCACTCAAAGTTAATCAAACAATTATATTTCAACAACATATGTACACCAACTAAAGAAGCAGGGCCCTAGATTTTTCTTGTATTGCAAGGGAAATTTTCTGGTGTCCAGTATAAATGTATTGCCATGAGCAAATTTTTTGAACGGAACTAGTGATGAAGGAATGAATTTTTGGATAAACCTAAGGGGCCATACATATCTGGGCAAGTAGTGTCCTTAGAGTTGCAGGTTTCCCATTCGCGTACTTGATCAGACCATGCTTTCTGTTTCAGAGAATTTGGAGTAAGCATATAACTTCCATAAGCAGTTCTATAGATTGGGGATAACAGAAAGCTACTGCATAATTACCGTTATATTCTCTTGAATGGCATTGGTGAAGCTGTCTATGTTGGAGTCATAGAATCTTTCTTCTGCTGTCTCAATTATGTTAACATCCCAAACCTGTGTAGCATAAAACTGGTCAGCAGAGTAGATAGTGAAATAGATCATACAGTAGTAGTGAATGAACCCGAGAATTAGACTTACATGGTGAAGATTTTGCTTCTTCGTGTACCAGTGAACATTAATTAAATTGGCCCCTCTGTCAGAGGTAAAGCCAACATGTAGAGGCTGCAAATTAACCATACAAAGGAGAAATTGCTAAGTCAGATGTAAGCTTATATATAGTGGTTTTTTTGGTGCTTTATCATGCATACCTGATGGACATCTCCCATAAAATGAGAAAGGAACAAAAGAGCTTGTGTGAGGTTATCTGATATTATGATTTCACCCAATCAAATAAGAATTTGGTTATCAAAAGATAAGATATAAACAAAAGTATTGGGTACACAGGTTTTAAGCTTAGCAATGATTTACACTGAGTGTCTTTGCCATAGTCCAGGAGCTGATCGGTGTAATTTTTAATCGCTCCCACAACACATCTTCCCTTCTCACCATCCTGATCTTTGCAATCCCCTGAATATTCAGACAACTGATCAAAACTATCCCACATCATCCCCTTAAAAAACCACTGGATTTCTAACCTATAAATTTTAGAATTCCAAAAGTGAATTTGATTTTTGAGATTCTACACTATCAGCAATTGATAATTTTTCAGAACTGTACAAACAATGTATCTTATATGGCATCAAATATGTGTAGTAGTGTTAGATTACTTTTAACACAAACACAGAAAACAAATACCAAAATCCTAAGGAGGAGAACATGGATATAAAATTAGGAGCAGAACATGAGCAATGAACTTACTGTTATATTGATAATTGCAAAGGTTGTCAGGTGTATCAGCAAAGTGCAACGCAGCAGACCAGTGCAAATAAAATCTGACACGATCAGCCCATGAACACACATTCCCCAAGTCATTTTGTGCATACTTTGGCAGCAGATTTTTCACAGCATCTGCGGCTGAATGGCTGAGGCGAGACTGTTCATAGAAAGAGGAAAGTAAGTGATGTGATATGATATGATGCATACATTTAACCACACACACTAACAATCATAGAGAGAATGGAAGTAACACAAGTGATTGGAAACCTGAGCAATCCTACAAACTATGGCATGCCCATCTTCTCCCCACCCTTTGGTGTTTGGAAGCACAAGCATGAAGGAAAGTATGACCAATAACTGGATTTTGTAGTACTCCATCTTTATCCGTCACAAACAACCTTGATTCACCTCTGCACTTATTTATACGTGTGTGTGAGAGTAACCTACCGATTGAGCCACCACAGTGATTTCGTCATTTGCTGTGTGAATAAAGTGAACATTGTTTGCGTTACGTCAACTTTGGAAAATGATTTTACGGTTCAAATTAAATGAAAAGCACGTCACATATTTTATCTTACATAATTCCTGTTTCTTCAGAAAATTGGTAAATGACCAAAGTGACCTTAAGAAGATTTATTTTAACCATATTTTTGTGTGTAAGCAGTGCGCGATAAAAAGTAATAATAGAAATAATCTCAGAAATATTTATTTGGAATTAATTAATATCCATGAGAATTGGAATATAGTCAAACCAATTAATTTTATTATTATTGTGTTCATGATCTTTTAACATATTAGTCATCAATTATCCAAATGTCCACCCATTGGTCAACAAAAATATCTTTATCAAACGGTAATTTTACGAAGAAAGAAAACTCCTAAAATTTTTAATACTTACTTATTGACCATTGTTTTAGAACAAGGAGGAGCCATATCTGCGAAATGTTTTTATGTATTCGAGATCTTTTAACTTTTTAGTCATCTATTAATAAAACATTGAACAAAAAAAATCTATTGCCAAAAAGGTATTTTTCTAAAGATAGAAAATAATAAGTAAAATATCAATACTTTTTAAAATTTGAAAGACAAGTTCTAAAAATCAATAGAGATTAATAAAAACTAATAACAAAATAAATGAAGTAAAAAAAGGAAAAAAAATCCATGTTTTAATTTTAAGGATAAACTAATTTATAGGTGTTTTACAAAATTTTGAATTAAGTCCATGGTGTCTGACACAACGATGACATGGCAGAGTTGAAGTGATACCAAAAATGGAGAAGATAAACAAATGAAGATTGAGATTGAAATCTTACCCTCATAATCCCCCAATAACATTAAAAACGCTAAACTAAAAACTGTAAAGTGAAATCACACTATTAAAAAATTAATTATTTTCTCCATTTTTTAAAAAAAATTGTTTAAATGTGTAAAGATTTTATTTCTTATAATTTTTACAAAAATTTTATAAAAATATTTCAAAAAAATATGAGAATTTCTAATAGTGTAATAATTAAAAATGATTAAAATATTACAAAACATGAAAATGGACAAAACTAAATTTCATCGAGTGGAAGAAATTAAACATTTATATCTGTAAATTAAAAGAAAAACTTTTATGATTTCACTCAAAACGCACATCTAATGGCTTAACACGAAAATTCAATAGTTTATGATGTTATGAATGAAAATATTAATATTCTAAATATTTTAGTTTTTGAGAAAAAAAAATCTAAAAATAAGAGAGAAAACACTAATTCAAACTTTTATTAGTTTTCCTCTGTTTTTTTTTTCCTTTAGTTTTTTCATTTAATGGTCTTAACAACTTTCTTATTATATATATATATATATATATATATATATCCGAGAAGTATTTTTTTTTTTTACTTCTACTCTTTCTTGTTTTTTTTTTATCTTCATTTTTTTTTTCTTGTGTGAAATTGTGGAGCAACATACAATTCACTTGTGTAGACTCGACACACTATAAACATCATCAGGTTCTTTTATGATATTAAAACAGGTTGAATCTCATTCTGCTTTTGCTACTCTACTCTTTCTTGATTACTTCTTTTGTTACCCGTTCTTGTATATATATATATATTTTTTTTTCCTCTTTTTTTTTGTTGCCTTCGTGACTGGAAAAGCTTCAAAAGATACCTTAAAGATCTCTAGAATTGGTCAAGTCCTTATTACTTTTATCTTGGTGAAAATTCAAGTTAAAATCTTGTTAACTTTCAACTCAACGATAAGAATTACCCAACAATGATAAGAGTTGCATTATCCCATAATAAATGGAAATTTATTGATGGGAGTATTGTAACCCCTTCTCCCAATAATGTGTAAGACTGACAACAAGAATCAAAATAGAGAATAGAATAATGAAGAAGATTCAATAGAATTTGCATAGCTCCTTCTTACCTGTACGATTACCATCATGAGATTATGAACACCATGAAAGTCATACCAAATGATAGTAAAATTTTGTATCTTATGTCTTTTGTTGTTGACTATGGAAAACTCTTAATAAACATATGCAATTTGTTCTTGTCATAATCACTGATATCAAGCGAAGAACATGTAAAGAAGTTGTTAATTATTCTGAGTGGGTATAAACGATGAAACGAAGTTGGAAGCTTTTGATAAGAAATAAACTTGAGAAATAATTAAACTCTCTTTAAAAAAATATTGGATGTAAATGAGTGTATCAAATCAAAAGAAGAGTTTATGACATCATAGAACGATACAAATTCAGGCTTATGGTTAAAAGATTCATTCTACTTCAAGAAATAAACTACTTAAACACTTTTTCACCTGTTGCAAAAATCATTATCATTCGACTTGTGTTAGCTCTTGCTGTACCTTAAGAATGGATCATATACCAATTAGATGTGAACAATGTTTTTCTGCATGGAAATCTTGAAGAGGATGCAAATTAAAGAAATATTTGTATATATGATTTGTATCAAACTAACACGTAATATTTGGTAAACTCTCTTCTTCTCTTAAAGACAATGGTTTCATCCAATCTAACTTTGATTATTCATTTTTCATTAAAAGAACTCCAAAAACTTTCATAGCTTTGCTTGTTCATGTAGATAGCATCATCTTAACAGGAAATTCTAAGAATGATATTAATAATATCATCAAATTTCTTGATTACTCATTCAAGACCAAAGATCTTTCATATCTAAAATTTTTCCTTAGATTTGAAGTTGTTAGTTATTCTACAGGATATTTAGATTCATGATTCTCACAAAATAACATAAATCATAATAAGAAGACTAACATTGATCTATAAGAGATATACAATGAGATTGTGTTCTTCAAAATATTTATTTTTCAACCTCCTTCTCCCAATTTATCTTTTTATCTTTCTTTCTCTTATCACACTTTTCTAATGGTTTACTCGTGTTTAGGGTTTAGAAAATAAAGACATTGAAGAACGCATTCTCATTGGATATCTCTCATGATCAATGTTAGTCTTCTTATTATGATTTATATTATTGTGTGAGAATCATGAAGCTAAAGATATTATAGAATAGTTTTCTTGAATGAATAAGAACATAAGGAAACTATATAATAATTTACATGTAATATCAGAACATGGTTTATCGTAAAAAAACTTTATCATCAGACACAGTAACTCTAATATCATTTTATTAACTAAAGTCCATCAAGTTGATTAGTTTTTATTTTATCTTTATTTTATTATAACTTCTTATAATAATTAAATACATTCTTATATTTTATTAAATGACGTTTGAATTCATTATTGTATTTCATATTAATCTACGTAATAGAATTAATTAATTAATTCTAACAATTAGATCCAAGATGGAATTCATCTTTATTAAAGAAAGTATATTCTGGAGATATTTGTTGAAACGGGTATGCTTGTCATCAAACCATGTTTCACTCCCATAAAAAAAAAATATCAAATAGTTTTACAATAAAGATGTTGAAACGAGTATGCTTTTACTCTTTCTTGTCTTCTTTGTTTTACCTTGTTTTTCTATTCTTATATGAAGTTATGCAACAACATTACATAGTTTTACTTTTCTCGCGCATAATTGGATAAGACACCGTAAACACCCGCAAATTCTTTTTAATTTTGATGAGAGAGTTGTTTTCTGCTTCTAAGGATTCAGCAAAATCCTTCCATTTGGCCTACGCAAATGGATTTGTTCAGCAATATCTTTTCTTAGAATGAAATATACGATGGGGGCCATTGTTAGCCGGATTTCTTTCTATCAGTACTATGGAATTAAACTTAATCCAATTTCATTTTACTCATTTTCTTACGGTAAGTGACACATGTTTTTAGTCCGATACTCAAACTCGTATTAATCTTATTACCAAAATTATTAAATATTATTATTATTAATATAAATATATTTTATTAGTTAAATATGCATTTTTAAAATAAATTATTTAAATATTAAATAATCTAATCTAATCTAATTTTAAAAAATATAAAGATATTTTGACAATCTATAACTCAACAAAGAATTTATGAACAATCATTTATCTTTATTTTTAATCATAAATTAACTTATTATATATTAATATAATATGATTGTTCCACTTGATTAACGACATATCGTTACTTTTTAGAAATATTTTAAAAGTAAAAAAAAAAAACGCTTTAAATTTACAGATTTTAACATAAAAAAATTATAACTTAAGTCAATCAAAAATACATCATTAACATTTCTCTTTAATATTGTTAAGATTATCAAATAAAAGTTTATTATTTACTTTTGCTTTTATATTATTTCATTAAGGAGGGACTATTAAAGTTTCATATCTTATTTTGGAGTTTTTATTATCATTTTTAAAACACCTATTTAAAACGTTCGTTAAGGAGTGACGTTATAAAAAAAACTACATTTTTTTGTTATTAGTAAAAATGGATGGTATGTAAAAGCTAATAGAAAAACTTTTTAAAATATAATCAATCCATCAAATTGTAAATACTAAATAACAATTAAACGTCACACTTAATATAAATTTTAATATATATATATATATATATATATATATATATATATATAACCACTTCCGTGGTTACGCAGGAAAGTGGTGGGAAGAGAAATTTGTTGTGAGAAGCGGAGAATGAAATTTCCATGAAACAGAGTTGGAGACGTATTACACGTTTTGTGATTTGGTTGATGTTTATCCTGAAGTTTTGCTGTCTCAGATTCTACAGTTGGAAGCATTAATTGTGCACGAGATAAATGTGGATGAAGAAACAGCAGTAACGTGGAATTGAAATCTTCCAGAGAACCATAAACAAAAACAAACACAAGGATTGTTCCAAACATAGAACATGTCCACCCACATCCACGTCCCCTTTCGATCATTCGCACCCACCTCACCTCCACCTACACACTCTTCCCCTTTCTCTTTCTCTCTCTCACTTCATATATATTCTTCCACACTCTTCTCCTTTCCCATTCTTGTTTCCAAAACAAAACCGAAAGCATGCTTGCACTAACTCAGCACCACCAAAACCTAAATTTCCTCTCTCACCTTCAACCTCCTTCCTTAGCTTACACTTTCTGCAACTGGGCTCCTCTCATTCTCACCCTTCTCGCCACCCTTCTCATTCTCCGCTCCCGCCACAACGCAAATTCCATCTCTGTCATCATCGCCGCCGATTATGATCACACCGATACCGAAGATGACTTCGACGATGACGCAGTATCCTCAGTATCGGAGTTTGAAGACGATGAAGAAGAAAAGGAAGAAGAGCGAACGAATGAGTATTTCAGAGTAAGAGGTTCTACAAACGATGATTGTTTGCTCATACGACGTCGTAGCATTAGTGATTTCTTGTCACTTTCGGAAATCGCCAACTCCAAAAGCGTCGTAAAGTTATGGGACTCCATAGGGTTTGGGCTAGGGTTTTCCTTGGACCATTTTGACAATTCATGTTCTTCCTCCAATGGAAGCGTCGTGTCCCTTTACGGCGGGGAGCATGGACTCCGACCTAATCAGGCGGTGGTGGTTTCCGCCGGAGAAAACGAGGCGGGAAATTTAGCGGTGAGGGTTTCGGATGCGCGGCTCCGGCGGCGGATTCCCGCGGTGATGGCGGAGTGGGGATCGAGCCTTGGAAAGACCGTTGGAGTTGAATCGGGTGAACTACACAAGGTTTACGTCAAACATGACGGCCGTTACGGTTTGACGGTCGGTGACATCAGAAACCCGAAGTTGCCGTTGGAACATGTAACGGATTCACACCTGAATCTTTGGTGGCCAAATTCACTCATCATGAAAATTTAAATACCAAAAAAAATTTATTTGTTTGTACAGCATTTTCTTCATGTACATATTAGCAATGAAATTTATCTATAAGATTTCTCATCAATTTCTTATTTTTTTACTTTTAGGCTAATTTTAATGGGTATAGGAGTCAATATTATAAATAATATATTTTAAAATAAAAATTATTTAAATAGAATTTTTATTAATTAAAATTTAACTAGATGAATTCTAATTAATTTCTAAACCTAATACAGAATTTGATTATTAAGGATAAAAATTTTCACATGAAATAAGTTTTTTTCTCGTTGTTTTTATCATTTTATTTATTTTCTCTTTTCTCATTTTTTTTTTCATTTTCTATCATACCTTATTCTTTTAATTAAAAATATTATATTAAATTTGATAAAAAAAATACATTAAAATAATTTTTTAAAATATATTTATTTAAAAGTATTTTTTAATAAAAAAAATTACAATCATCGTAATCCATTGACATAAAATATTAATTAAAGAGAATACAATAGCATAAAATGTTATTTAATTACAAATTAACACACGTAAACTTTACCACAAACATATTTTATTACTACAAATTTAATTAATTTACATAAACTTGACTTTTTTTTCTTATTATTTTATTTCAGTTTTCTTTTTCATTATCGTAAATATTTTTTACTAGGAATCATATTTTTTAAAATTTTGTTTATCATATATATGTTGGCTATTCGTGAAGTCGTTTAAAAAATTAAAGATAAGATTATAAAATAAATCTTATCAAAATCTTATATTCCTATAAACTATTTTACATTTTTAATGAGTACAATCAAGTGACATTCTAATATTCTAAAAATATTATAATTAATATAAATAGTTTTTTTAAGGAAAAAGGAAATAAGTCAAAGACTGAAGCTATGAAGTCGAAAGCTTGAAAAATGAAGTAATTCTTGAAAGTTATAACTTGAGTTTAGATTTCAAGATATATAGATGAAATATAATATTCTATCATGATTGAATCATAATACTAGTGTTAGTAGAAAATCGAGAAAAGCGATCGAAAATGAGGGAAATGAAAGAGAGAACACGTGACTGATAAAAAACCATTCGATGTCTAAAGCACGTAACACATAACATCGATAAGTACAATCGAGAATCGAAGGAACGATAGTCAAATGCCTATTGTCGAAACCTAAGAAACTAGAATGATAAGACGTTAAGGTTGAAAAGGAATCGTAAGCAATTCGAAGTTCTCGAAAGTGTAAAATCGAAAATGAAGAAAGCTAACCTACACGGACATCGAAAACCTTGGTCAAACCATAAAGAGAAGAGTAAGTCAAACGCACGGATAGAGAGCAGTTTCTAAACCATGGAGGAAATCAAAGATCGTGAGAACGTGGAAAACCGTAGGAGATAAACCGCCATATGCACGTAGAACGTGGTAGCAGTCGTGTTAACTGCTCTTGGAAGACTTGAACGATGCACTATAAATAGAGCAAAGAAGGAAGAAATAGAGAGCGAGAAATTGGCGAGAGAACGAGAATCGGTAGTGAAAAGTCTACGGAGAAACGACGAACACCATGAAGTTTCGGCAATCTGGATTTCCTTGCTCGCTGAGTACATTTACCGCTTTACGTATTTTCCTTGGTAATTTACCTTGATGCAATTTACATTCAGCAGTTTTTTTTTTGGTATTTTCGATTCCTTGTCATTTCAATTCAATGAAAGTTTAAGTTTACGTATTTACGATTTCCTGTTAACATTCTGCAAATCTCGATTTTACTGTCATTTACTTTTCTTGCAATCTCGATTTCTTGTCATTTATATTTGCGCTATTTTCGATTTCTTGTCATTTATATTTGTGCTATTTTCGATTTCTTGTCATTTACAATTAATGCAAATTTGGGGTTTTCGCACTTTACAGTTCCTCGCAAATTAATATTCCATTTCTCGATTCGATACTTTTATTGCTTTCGGTATTTTAAATATAAAATACTAAAAAATAGCATTTGATATTCTGTGACTTTCGATTCTCATACACGTTGTCGATTGAAAGTCAGACTGCTAGCCTAAGTAAAAAGAACTTACGTGGTAGAATTTTGATTAGGATCAAAATATCTCAGGAAATGAAATCGATCGAAATTCCACCAGAAACAAATTGGCGCGCCAGGTAGGGGCTTCTTGTGTTGAGAGACACAAAATTGGTTAGTTCGAGAGTGTATGAGATTAAGGAGTGGGAGAGTCATGAGTCAGAGTTCATCAAGTAACCAGAGTAATAGTGAGGGTCTAAATGGTGTACATTCATCAAATACTGGGGGGCAAAGTCAGAATGGGAATACACATGTAGTATCGACAACTGTAAGTATGTCGATACCCGTGAGTAATGAACAAAACTCAGGCACTTTAGCAAATACCCAAGTAGGATCTAGCACGGTGGCACTAAACAGTATGCCAACTATGGGAAACCCTATAACAACAAATGCTGGGTCGTATATGAGTATAAGACCACCTGGGTTTTCGCTTAACATGAATGGGGTTGGTACTTCTTCGATGCAATGAAATTCGAGATATAACTTAGGAACATTCCAAACCCTAGGTATGCCACAGAATTTTGGAACATCTCCAAACCTAGGAACATCTCAAAATGTAGTAATTCCCCAGAACTCAGGGAGTGTGCAGAATGTAGGAACGCAGCAAATACCTCCAAATCTAGATCATAGAGGAAACTTAGATCATGGGAGATATGCGTTCGATAGGGATTATCATCGATCTAATTTTGATACTATCGAAAATACCGGGACTGGGATATCCAGTAACTCATTAGGGATACTTAGACAACAAATGGATGAGAGCAATTTTGAGATGGTGAATATGTTATCCCAACAGTTGACTACAGTCTTAAACCCATTAGTTCAAAACACTACAGCTAGTTTTGAGATATTAGCAGATCAAATGTCACGAATCGGGGATGCATTGGTTGTACCTCGACGAACAAGGGTAGAAAATCATGCTAACCAAAACGCCAATATCAATCCCCCATATCTTTTAAGGAGAAACCGAAACAACGCTCAACAAATGGGAAATGAGTACCAACACGTGAGGAATGACATTTATGGGAATTTGAACAAAGGATTTCAAAACATACACAATCAGAATAACATGTTGGGACAAAGGGTGAATTTACAAGGGATGGAATTTAGACCACCCAATCAGACATATTTTGTGTCTCCCTTTCTGAATGCGATTCTCGAGACAGAATTGCCTCGAGGATATAAAGTACCCAAATTCACTAAATTTGCTAGAGAAGCTGGTGAATCGACGATCGAGCATGTGGCTCGATATCAGATCGAATGCGGGGATTTAGCGATGAGTGAAGAATTAAAGATGAAATATTTTCCTAGTTCTTTGACTAAGAATGTTTTTACTTGGTTCACTTCGTTACCGCCCAATTCGATATATAATTGGTTGCAGTTAGAGAGAAATTTTCATGAGCAATTCTTTAGAGGAGAAACTCAAGTAAGTCTCATCGACTTGATGAATATAAAGAGATACAATCATGAAAGCATAGATGATTATTTGAATCGATTTAGACAAATGAAATCGAGATGCTTTACTCAAATTTCTGAATATGAATTAGTCAGAATGACCTCTGCAGGTTTAGAATTCTCGATTAGGAAAAAATTAGTCAATTTACCATTGAATGATATGGCTCAGTTAGCTGATAAAGTGAGAAGAGTAGAACAAATCGAATATGAAAAACAAAGATATAAGAAATTTGAGAAACCGATGAAGAAAGAAAGAATAGCATATATAAATGATGTGTACGAAACAGATCCCACGACAAAGAATGACGTGGAAGAGATTGTCGATGAGAAAGTAAACATAGCAGAGCTCAAAGTAGGAGCTCCATATATCTGTAAATTACTACAGAAAAATGAAGTGAAAGACAAAATGGCAAATCGAACATATACTTTTGATGTAACAAAGGTAGACAAAATCTTTGATATTCTATTGAAAGACAAACAAATTAAGCTGAGTGATGATCATAAACTGTCTTCTATAGAACAAAGGAATAGTCGAAAATATTACAAATTTCATAATGTTTATGGACACTGGACTAACAATTGTATACATTTCAGGAACACGATCCAAGATGCGATCGACCAAGGAAGGTTGAAGTTCGAAGAAATGACAATGAAAGTTGACACGAGTCCATTCGAGGCTCAAGTAGGATACCTCGAATCCCAAACGGGCATTGCTGATGATGTCCGATTGACAAATTCGGCCTTTATAGGTATGGTAGATGTTGCGAAGATATTGATCCCAAGCATGTTAGGATGGACGTATCGAGGAAGACATGGAATTTGACACTGAGTGAATTTGAGAAAGAGTTCGAAAAGGAGATTTACCCTCGATCGGGAGATTCTCTCATTGAATTTTTGAATAGAAAGAAAGAGAAAGACGAAGATGTGTCGTTATGCCCACGATGCGGTGCGGTATTCGATAAATCGGCTGCCAAAGCTTTGAGTTAGAACGAGACAAAGAAGATCGAGAGCCGAAGTAAAAGGAAAAATGACAAAGTGGATCAAACGGTCCGACCAACGATCGAAGAAAGTCAACAAAAATCCGTTGGTTACGGTGTTAGCGGAAATCAAAGGCAATGGGTCAGAAGAGAGATGTATCCTTCTCGAGGAGGAAGAGGCGGACTTCAAAGCAATGATGTCTTTGAGAGATTGTCATACGATGAAGGATCGAACGCTGGATTCCCGACATTCCAAAGGAGATTCGAGGAAGGCCACGGAGAAGAGGAGGAAGGATCCCTTATTGGAATAATTATAGAAACTTTGAAGAGAATATTGTACCAGATGGAAAGTCAATATGCAAGAGAATTCTTCGATGATAAGAATGAGGGTACTTGGGATGAGCATCAAATCGGAGTGATATCGATACTACCGGCGAGAATATGTTAGTGAATATCAAGAGTACCAAGAAGCGAGTGATGCCGATCGAGAAGATGACTTCTA